GGGATTTTAACGCAAGATAAAGCAAATAACAAAGAAGGGAAAATATTGTGGCAGATAATAGAAGAAATGGGATGGGAAATTTTGAATGGAAACAAGGAAGGAGATGAAGAAGGAGAATGAACGTACGTAGGGGCTAGGGGAAAATCAATTATAGACTATGGGATTGTCAACGAAGAGGTGTGGGAAGAAATAGAGAGTTTCAAAGTGGGAGAATGAGTAGAATCAAACCACATGCCTCCAGAAATAAAAATCAAAGGAAAAGAGCAAGAGTACGAAAAACAAGAGAGAAGAAACGAAAGAAAAGAATTAGAAAAAAGAATATGGGATGAAGAGGGAATTCAAAGATACAGAAGTAGACTAGAAAAAAAGAAATTCGGAGTAAAAGAAGATTAGAAGCTATGATAGCGGAACTGACCAACCTAATTGTAGAAGCTATGGAAAAAAGAAAGATATACATATGGCAAGGGAAGAATAATGGATGGAACGAAGAATGTAGTAAGTTGAAGAAATAAGCTAGGCAAAAAATTAAGCAAATGGAAGAACGACAAGGGAAGGAAAGAAGAGTACCTAAAAGCAAGAGAGAATTATAGGAAAAAATGGGAAGAAAGAAAAAGAGAAAAAAGAGAAAAACAAGAAGAAGAAGAAGAGAAGACAATAAAGTCCCTGAAAACAGAAGAAGAAGTATGGAGATATATAAACAAGGAACGGAGAAGGAAGACTGAAGTCAGTAGGAAAATTAAAATACATGAATGGAAAAGACACTCTATGGAATTATTGGGAGGTTGTGAGGAAAAATGCTGCAAAATAAATAAAGGAATCACAACGACGGAGGAAATGTGGAGAGGTTCAGAAATATCAGAAGATGAAATAGGAAGACAGATTGAGAGACTGAAAAGAGGAAAGGCTCCAAGAGGGGATGGAATCCAGAACGAAGCGTGGATGTTCGGGACAGAAGGAGTGAAAGAAAAGATATGGGAAGTGGTAAATGGAGTTTGGAAGGAAAAAGAGCGAGAGTTTTTATACAAATAGAAGAGTGAGACAAGGATGCCCACGCAGCCCCGCATTGTTTGCAGCTTATCTAGGAGATATAGATGAAATGTTCAGAAAAGTACAGACAGAAGGAGTGGTAGTCAGCAAAAAGAAAGCGTGGTCGTTGGCGTACGCAAATGATTTGGTGATTGTGGCAAAGAAAAGAGAAGGAATGAAAACAATGACTAAAAGTTTGGAGAAGTGTGTAAAAAAAAGGAAACTGGAAGTGAATGTGGAAAAAAAATGGTGGTGTTTGGGAAGAAAGTAAGAAAGGAGAAGGAAGAGTGGGCATGGAGAGGGAAGAACATTGAACAGTTGAAAGAATTCCAGTACTTAGGATATACATTAAAGAGCAATAACTCAGATAGAACGCATATTCAAGAAATAGTCCAAAAAGCGAACACAGTGATAGGAATAGTATGGGAAATAGGAGAGAGAAAATTTCGACATAATTATAAGAGAAGAATGATGATATTTGATAGTTTGATCAAAAGTGTATTTATGTACGGAGCTGAGATTTGGGGATGGAGGGAATATGGAGAAATAGAGAGAGTGCAAGAAAAATGCTTGAAATGGACATGGGATATATAGTGAGAGAAGAAACAAAAAGGGAGAAATTGACACTGGAAGCGGATAAAAGGGCAGTTGGATTTGAAGAGAAGTTCAGTGAGAGAGGTGATTGCAAAATATTACAAGAATGTTGGAAAGAAATAAGAAAGGAAGGGGGAAAACATGTTTGGGACGAAAGAGACAAGTATTATGAAGGAACGGGATATGCATGTGAAGAAATAGAGAAATGAGGGAAATGGGAAGGAGTATGAAAGAAGAACTGAGTGTAAGAGATAAGGATATAGATAAGCAAGAAAGCAGATCGAGAATATCAGAGTCTAGATATAATGCAGAATATAGAAAAATAGTAAAGGATGAAGTACCAAAGTACAGAGAGAGAGAGAGAGAGTATAAAGGAGAAAAGAATGATGGCGAGATTTAAGTGTGGAAATGAAGAGAAAGAGAATAACTTTTGGATGGATGAAACTGGCAGAAGGTGTAGGATATCTTGGAGAGAGGGAGAAACAATAGAGCATACGCTGGATGGATGTGAAGGATTGAGAGAATCGGAGGAAAGTAGGGAAGAAGTGCTAAACGAGGATGGAAGAGGACTGGACGGGATGAAAGAAGTATGGAAGATAAGGGATCTATGCCAAGGGGTGGGCAAGCAGAAAGAATAGAACATTTATTATATAAAACTCCAATATTTATTTTATTTTATTTATTTTTATTGATTTATCTGATGTAGATTAAGTTAATTTGTACCCCTACTGGGAATATTATTAAGCCTCTAAGGCAAATAAAAAATGAATACTTGTAAATACTTGTATTTAAACCCATACTTCCTTCTAGATGAGCTGCGATCGGGATCTTTCTAGTCGCTCTGTCATAAGTCGTCATCGACGTACAGACCAAAAAGTTCTCGACGGCCCATAGGCGTTGGGTTTATTTCATAACAATAGTAAACGGGTTTTAAATTGTATAAGATAACATAGTCCAACAAATGTAATTTATGACTCCGTGCTGAGCTTTTACCCGAAACATCCAGATTTTTGGGAAAAAAATCAAAATTATAAAAAATTAATTGACTTTTTTATAATTTTACAATTTAATTTTGGATCTGCAAAACCCAATATTTGAAATCTTGCAGATGTTTTAAAGTTATGATAAGCATAATAAATTTTTAATCAAAATATATATATTTACTTATCCCCTCCAAAAAATTGATGACGTCAGTTCAACATTTTGCCGAATAAATCCTATCTAAAATGTTCAAAATATGATGAGTCTATACTTGTGATTTAACATCCCATTCATATTTTTTGGATTTGCTTATACAGCGTGTCTCAAAAAAATGAATGAATGCGTGAATTGATTTTATTGATTTAATCAGGAACTGCAAAACCGTATGCTTTGAAATCTTGGAGATATTCTAAAGTTATCATAAGCATGGTAAATTTTTCATCCAAATGTATTTGCTAATCCCCCCTAAAAAATTGATGACCTCACCTCAAAATATTGTTGAATAAATCCTATCTTAAATGTGCAAAATATGATGAGTTTGTACTTGTGATTTATCAATGCTTTAATATTTTTTAGATTTGCTTATACAGGGTGTCTCAAAAAAATTAATTACTTAGTCAATTTATTTTATTGATTAAATCAAGAATTGTAAAACTGAATATTTTGAAACTTTCCAAACGTTTTGAAGTTATTGGAAGCATGGTAACTTTTTAATCAAAATGTTCATCAACCCCACAAAATTGATCACGTCATCTGAAAATTTTGCTTTGTAAATTCTTCTCAAAGTGTGCAAAATATGATGAGTTTTACTTATGATTATCATTGCATTCATATTTTTTAGATTTGCTTAAACAGGTGGCTCAAAAAAATTAATGAATGAGTCAATTCACTTTCGTAGAAAACTTTGGGAACACAGTACTGTTATTTTAGTGTTATACTGCACCAATCCAAGTTGATATACGTGTCCTTGCAAAAATCACAAAATTGTGTAAACAAACAACTCAACTCGAAAGTGCTGGATATGTTTCATTGTACTTTAAGTGCGAGGGAAGTTCTATCGAAGGAACTTTCGAACAATTTTTTTAATTATGTTGCCAAATGAGTCCATCCAGGTCTTTTCTGAATGCAAAATCATCAAAAATTTCGGTTCGTTTTCTTTTGCCAGAGAATGAAGTCTCATTTTATAAGTTTAAGCGAAGCATTCAACTGCACCACTTCATATTTTGATAAGAAAGTTATCGTTTTATAATTATCATCCCTGACGATGTACAGTTAATATTTTCCAACTTGAATGTGTTAAAATCAAGGGTAATAAATCATTCGATAGTGGTAAAATGAGTCATGGGATTTTATAGGGATGGAATTTAAGACCAGTTTTATTTTTAACATACATATAAATGACTGCAATCCGTAATAATGAAAACAATGAAGTTTAAATAAGATCAAAACCCAAGAAATAAGGTTCGTAGTAAAAAAAATGGCCCAAGTGTATTTCGACAGAATTCCCCTTCCCGCTTTTTTGAAAAACTGTAATAATGTAGATAATGTGTAAAGCTGGAATAGTTTCAAAAACATGATTTAGAAAGAACTGTAGGCAGCATTTATAATTCTACAAACTTTAACACTTAATGGATGAAGACCATGTTCAACTTAATTTTAGAAGTCCATATTATACAAGTAAATATAAATATACTACTAAAACCAACGTTTTCTTCATTAGTTCATTACTTAATTTCAATTTCAACTCCAATATTTTACACAAGATAGTTTTGAAATTTTACACAGAAGCAATCAGACATATAAAGGTAACTATGTAGAACCAACAATATTCAACCAGAAAGGACTAATAACTTAGGAAATTTTACAAAATTCTCTTACTATTCATGTGCTTGTAATATTCGCTATACCGCTGAATATCATATCAGACGCGGCAGCTAAGGAAACTAATTTAGAAAAATTCACAGCGTTCTACATATTTAATATCAGTGACTCCCGGAACTTGTAATTTTTTTTAATTTAAATTTTAATTTAATTTTATGTCGTGATTATAAGGGGACCTGTGCCATTTTCGCTTGGTTGAAAATGCAAGGGTTGCAATTGAGAAAATAACAAAGCATAAGATTTATACTTAATACTTGGGGTGATTATAACAATAAGAGAAAAAAACAATAATAGTGCAGTCACTATCATTAATAAGGCAGGACTCCAATGAGGACGATAAAATTATCATTATTAATCGTAATTATAACGTTTGGTGGGAACGCCTGATCTTTGCTCTTATATCACGCAACTCTGTTGAATTCATGATTTTTTTGAAATACTTAATCGTCCATGACTATCAAAACCTTTGGCAGTAAATTTAAGAAAAACTTCAACCAGTTAATTTTCTTTTAAGACAATCAGTTCTTTCGGACTCCATAATAAATAAATAACAGTTCAGTTTTCGGAATGTAAATCCAATCTCAAAGAAAACTGCTCTGAAAATACATAATTTATTTCGTAACATCGTACACTAAGCTTACAATGTATCTTATAAAAAAAAATGTTTTCTTCGTACCTACCAAAACTATGTCAAATTATGGAACACTTCATTTTCATTTCCAGAAAGTTCCTCTAAAATAAATACATAATTACAGTCAAGTAAATTAAGACTCATTAGAAACTCTGGCCAGAGATTATGAAACTACGAAAAATTATATATCACTCTCATACACATATATTTTTACACTGAAATACAGGTTTTAAATGCTTGATGGCACAGTGAAATTTTAAAAGTACGTCCCTGACACAGGAATGTACCAACAGAGCAATAAAATTTAAATAAATATGTACAATAATGTTTTGAGAATAAGTCACTTTGATATGAATTGTTGTCAGCGCCACCAATAGGCAGAAAATAATAAAACAGTGACATTAGCCAATGTTTAAAATTGGCGGGCAGTCACTTTCACCTGTACGAGACGTACGTGTGTACTTAACTCGGGGTCAAACCACACCACAACTTTATCTTTTCCTGTGAATTTGTTGTGTTTTAGTAGCTAAATAACAAGTTCTCTATCAAAGCATGATTCGGTAAAAAACTAAAACTGCAGTTTGTGGTATGTTCATAAGAATTCCGCCGTGGTTTTTCCCACAATGCCTAAAACCCTGATAAGCATAGGTGAAGTAAGTTTAATCAACTTCGTATAACAGTAGGTGCAAGCTGAAAAACAAACAAAGATATTTTTAGCTTATCTGGAAAAGACACTTAATGAAAAAATATTTACAGAGGAATTCTGGTCTTTGTCGTTGTTGGAAATGTAATTTGCGGGCAAATTAAACGTGGTGCTGATATAAATAGAGTGAGAGTGGGTATTTTAATTATAGATGCGTGAAGTCCCAGTATCACGAATTAATTAGAGAATTCCCCGTATACAGATTTTACCAAATGTCATCCTTGCAACTTTTGCCTAATCACTCCGTAATTTTTGCAGCACATTACACAATTATTATTCCAGTCATCACGTCCTTGACTGTACCACACAAATGATAAGTCATTCAAACCACAATGATAAAGCTTCTATTAATACTACCAAATTGTAGCGATTAATAAGAAGACCCGATCGACTAATTTGTAATTTTTTTAATTATCTCTCTACGTGAAACTCGTTTATTACTGATAAGATCGATTCACAAAAAAAGAAGACATCAGTTCTCTTGTTTAATATTAGGTTTTTTTCGCAAGCTCGAAGGAAAAAGACCATTAAAGAGCCAAAGCCAAATCAGGCGATGTGCCTGCGACAAGATCTCATCAGCTATGGTATACTGTGACGTAACTTTTTCAAAAACCTGGAAAATCCTTCACAATGAGAGTCTTTAGAACACAAACACTCACCTTTACAGGGTCTATTTTTCCTTTCGCTTTCACACTTGTGCTTGCGTTCAAACATGATTTACGAAGGAGTTTAGGAGAAGAACTTGCACAGACTGGGGTAGCGGACGATCTGGCCTTGGAAGGAGGCATCATATTTTTCACCATTTTCTCTAATTTCGAATTAGCGCTACTCACAGGTTCCGACCTGAAACTCTCAAAAGTCAAAATTTCAAAAATAACGTGCACTTCTGACCTTTCATGTATTTTATACCGCTTTCTTCTATTAGGGTTCACGTAGATTTCCTTCGTTTTCGGCGACGAGTACCTTTCCAAAAGCTGTTGACGCTTTTCCCGAATTAGCCTGAGTTTTTCCTCGTACTCGTTTTTAATAATCGTCATTTTATTGTTTTGTATCCCAGGTGTTGACGAAAATTTGCTTTTCGTTTCCACTGTTTTGCGATCCGTACCTTTTGAAGGTTTGGAAGATTTTTGTTTCCTCGAGTTGAGACCACTGCTGGGGCGGACTTGCTGGTTTTTCACTTTCACAGTTGAGGGTTTTTTGATAGTTTTTTTCTTTGAAGCAGTAGTGCGGGACATTTTGTGGAATGTGATGATTGACGAAAAATTTTGACAGGACTAGAGACGTAATTTAATTGTCAAATCAATTTGTTAAGACAATGATCTGGCTCAATCTGTCTAAAGTGGCTCAAGTTAACCCGGTCATAGTTGTTTTTTTGTTGGTTATAATAATTACAACTGGAAGCAAAATGTTAGCAAGAGTAATTCAAGTTAGGATATGTAATAATAATAAAGTACTTAATAACAGACGCGGTGCTCAATTGAAACATTTTATGACAATATCTTTCGACCCTAATTAACGACAATAACCAACTGTATTCATACAACGCTTTTTATATGTTTTTAATTGAAAAATCGCCAGTCTAAACTACCTTAGGCAATTTAACAATAATCGTTCAAATGAAAAATTTATAGGCAATACTATTTAATTCATTCCACTAAATATTTGATATATAACACTCCTATTTCAAACATACATATTTATTGTGAAACTCAACGTAACTAACAGAAAAACTATTTTATTGTTTTAAGGTTATTTATTATTCAATATTTGGCATTAAATATACAGAAATACTTATACAAAACACTGAGTCTCTAAAGTGACAGACAGACAGACAAACGGTAATTGTATATACAGATGGAAACGGGAGACCTATTTTTTCGTTCTCTAGTGGTCATGACGCATGACACATCGAGAAAACATGAAAAGTAGACATTCGTCCAAATAACCCAATTACAAAGAAACAAAAAAAAAATCGCATAAAGTAATCGTACACACGACCTTCGCATTGCGAGGAGGACACGCTAGTCTAGACGCTATGAAGCAATAATTGCAAGCGATCCGCTTATAAAAATTGGGAAACGGGAGACCCACTCTTTCATATTCTAGGAATCATGAAACATCGGAAAACATGAAAGTAGCGATTCGTCGGATGGACCCTATTACAATCCTTAGCTTACGCTCGGGAAAAACGTCGTTGAATACAAAAAGTTGAACCTAGATGAAGGAATAAAACTTGTAGCAGTTAACTAAAAAAAATCGGTCTAAAAAAAATGGTACACTACTTTCAATCAGGTCAAATTTCTTTGGTAATAATTTTCAGTAAAAATTAATCAATAACGTTAACTTTTTTTTTCAAACAATATAAAAAAAAACTACGTATAAAGTATTAAAAAAGATGAGACTACCAGTTTATATGAGCTCACAATGCTTATACTCTCGAAGCTGATTTTTTTTCGCATAATTTAATTTCACAGGAAAGTCTATAGGATCATTATAATAAATAATAAAACAAACCTACGTAGCCTCACCGGTAAATTCTTATGAGACCGCACTATTTTAAAATATCGGAACGGCAGACGGAAAGACAGACGGATAGACAGACGGACAGACGGAAACGTAAAAGATGGACTTGATTACAATACTTCCTTCGCTTACGATCGGAAAGTAAAAAGAATATTAAGAATGCGAGCATGGCGAGCAGTTTAGGTGTTATTAAAAATTACTCGTCAATGTCTCTGAGAAGCTAAATTATTAAAAAAAATATTTTTTTGTCTAAAGAATGTGAATCCTAAAAATGTTCGTGATTATCTGCTAAAATTGGAGAAACTCCAGCAAAGGGTGTATTTTTTTTTTTAATCTACAAATTTATTCTTAGAGTAGAACCCAAACAACTTCGCCCAGACTCTTTCCTGCACACTTCTATGACAATAAAGCTTAAAAAAGAAGTTTAAAATTCGAGTGCAGCGAGCACGTTCAGGTGTAATTTAAAAAAATATTTATTGGTGTTCCTGAGAAGCTAAATTATTAAGAACGATTTTGTTGTTACTTGAAAATGTGAGTTTAAAAATTGTCTATGATCACTAATGTCTGTGGGACGCAAACACTTCTCGCATCCTAAAGGTTTGTTTTTTTTTTAAGTAACAAGTCTACAAAACAAAAACTAGACAGCTTCGCTGAAATTCTTTCTTAATCACTTCCATAAGACTAAACTGCAAAAAAAGAACACTTAGAAAATGCGCGCTACGAGCACATTCAGGTTTTACTAAAAAAAATTGTCTAAACTTATAAAATTTTCAGGAACATGGGGTGAGCCGTAATTGTTTTGATGAATAGAGCAGATTGGTTCATTTATTATTTTTTTAAGGCGCTCTGTGTACATATGGAGTCATTATATTTTGCTTCTTCTAAATAGGATTTATTCGGCAAAATTTTGAAATGACGTCATCAACTTTCAAGTTAAATTGCAAAATGGTGTCAAAATTTTTTTATATTTTTACAAAAATCTTGGTGCCTTGAGTAAAAACTCAACACGGAGTCATAAACCACAATTGCAGGAGTATCTTATTTTATAAAATTTAAATAATATACACATATTTTGAAGATGACGTCATCCAATTATTAGTGTGGATGATTATACAATTTTTGATTCGCGTTTTACCATGTATACGATATTTTTAACATACATACAAAATTTGACAGCAATCGATGCAGTAGTTTTGGAGATTATATGTCCTTAGCTTTCGCAAAGTTAAACCTTCAAACAAACTCAATGTCTTTGACAAAAAAAATATCAAAGAGGATGGGTTCGAATTCACTTAGTTCGAGATATTGGCTATGTGAAATAGTAAACATTGCAACATTTTCCCAAAGCAATGCGATTAAAAATCAAGGCGTATTCATAAACCACAAGTACAAAAAAACTTTAAAACAAAAAATTTTGAGATGGCGTCATCAAAGTGTTGGTGTGGAAGATTATCTGTCTAATAAAAATCGATACGGACGACGGACAAACAACAGACGGCTAACCGAATTTTCTCTACAGTTATTATGAAAAACGACGAAAAAAGATAACGTCCTGAAAACTTAATCACTAAACGTACACTAGACGATTTAAGGAGGATATCATTAAATCTATTTCTAATTTTTGTCCAGGACTTACCCTGCTTGAAAGTATGCGTTATAAATATAACTCTGATAAATCTGGCACCACTCTCAAATTCCAGAGTTTTGTATAACTTGTTATTCCTTTTTTCTATTAATATGAAACGAGATAAATTATAAAAACTTTTTAGTGGTTGAATTCTGGAACATATACTGTTTACTTTTCGTTAAACCGACGGCATTTTCGCATTTACTGAAAGCACAATTTTTAATTGATATTTTACATGAGCACACTTTTTTTCTGACAGTGAATAAATTTTCTCTTAAAGCAAATGTATGCTCTAAAAAAATCATAACTTACTTCTGTAAGTTTCAAAAGGTTGGAAAGGCCAGGAACCATCAGGACAATGGTAATGAGTACTATTATTTCGTTAACTTATGCCAACGATGAAATGTTTCCTGGTTTTATATACCGTATTGGTTTTAGAACGAAATTTATGGGTGACCAAAAGTGGCCACACTTTGGAGACGTGTTTTCCGAGAATATTTTATGACTCGGTAAATCGAACGCTCAAAGAATAGGTGATGAGGAAAACTCGCCGCAACCAGCGACCTCTAGGTGGTGAAAATTTCTCAAAAATGTGCCAAGACGCTTAAACCAGAACCTTTAACTTAAAACTATGATAGGTATAGATCTATATTTGATATAAAACTAGTTAAACCACAATGTGGATTAATACACAATCTTGATCTAAAATAATTATACATTTACATCATGCACCGCAATAGTGATAGACAGATAAAATGCTGTAATTCTAGAATGTCTAAAGCCTTATCATTTCGAATACCTACTTAACAACTTTTAACTGTAATAAAATACACAACATTTGTATAACAACAGCGATAATAATCTGAAAGATCTAAGAGGATATAGACATGAACGAAAAAAAATTAAGTCAAGTCAACGGTACAAAACAAACACATTGTATAATGAGAGTAAGAGATAACTTAAAAAGGTTCTTGAACTTTGTTTTGACCGCGATATACCTAGTACCTACTTAAGTTTTAACACAATCTAACATTGATCTCTATAGCAAACACCATGTCCAAAAGAGGGTGATTTTCGTCATATACAGAAACACCAAAGGCAAAATTCCTGATGTCTGGAGCACAGTTAGTTAAGATTCTCATAAAAAAATTTTTCTACCGCCCACGTTTTTTGGTTTTCTAATAGAGCTATTAACGCACGCAAATGACGTCACAGCAGTTCGTTAATAGAGGAAAGGCGTTCTTTAATAGATCTGGTGTAATTTAGATCGGTAAGATTGGTAGCAATGACGAGAAATGTCAGGTGAATGTCAGTGGCAAATCTAAACTTAAAATTTTCCATGTTTCCGGACGCGTAACTTCTTCGCAAGACATTTTAACCAATTTTAAATTACAAAAACTCGAATTGGTTCGAATTACAATTGTTGTTGTGAAAATTCGAACCTCAAATATTTCGTGGTTAGTGTCAGACCGACCCATCACCAACCACGACAAAAGTCCCCAGATTAAAAAAAATGCAAATTTCAATTAAATTTTGGGAAAAAACGTGTGCGGTAGAAAAAATAGTATAAATAACTCGTTCATAAGGCCATTGAGGCACTCATCCTTTATATAACTCGCGGCTTCGCCGCTCGTTCTATAAACTTGGATTCGTGCCTCAATATTTGCCTTATGAAACTCGTTCTTTAATATACTATTCTAATAAGGAAAACTTATGTTGTTTGTGAAGAAGATTAAGATAAAAGTGTAACTGTAGCCTGAGCAAATGGTAAGTTGCCTATTGTCAAGAAAGCACCTTGACATCATTTCTTAGGTTACATAATCATAACATATAATTAGATATGGAGTAAAAAAATTGATGTTAACTATGAAATAATTGTTTTACAAGAATTGTAAACAAATGTCTGCTAACTTACAAAACCACACGTACTGATAGATATACTTATATCGTTAATTACACGCCGTTTCACTCTAGTTTCAACAGTACTATAGTTTTGATGATTTGTAAGTACTACACTTATAGATTTTCCCGATAGAAACACGAATATAAAGATTAAAAGCTACGCTACGATTACTAGGGTCTCCTAATTTTGAAATTTATTAATTAGTCATCCACAAATTACACTGTCACCATTTTACAAAAGAGAACAACAACAGGATGGTAAGTGTCATATTTATCAAGAAGCTAGTGGCTCAGAGTAGCCTAAAAACACTATGCTGTTCAAATTAACAAAATTTTTGGCAGACCTGAGAAGCGGATTTCCTTTTAAAATTCACGTTTCCACATGAAGAAAATGACCGAAGACGTGCAACGCTTAAACATCAATCCTCTGTGCAGAAAAATAAAATCCATCAAAACTGTAGGCCGTAATTACAAAGACATACAGTTATAGACAATAGGGACATAAAATCCAATAAATATTAATTAATTACTTCATCCCAGTTAACTAAAACTTTAAACAAATTTATTCGTTGTACAAATAATAATCAAATAAAATAAATAATAGAATAAATAATTTAAAACATATATCAGCACATTTTGTTTGAATATTTTAGTTTAATTAAATGGTTCAATAATGTAATTAGATTTCATTCCAAATGAATTATTCCAATAATTTAAACATTATCCCATTGTTTTGTTAATTGAATGCCCGCCTAGAACTACTCGTAGCGAAAGAAGACTGTAAATTAGTTTTAAAAGTTATTTAACGAGCAAATTTGATATTCAGCTTTATTGCTCTGGAATGGATTTTAAATACCAACCGTTGTGGAATGTGTCCTTAAAACAACGCTTCAAAATAAAACAATGAGAGCTGTCGGTATCCAGTTCTGTAAAAACAAGCAGACAAAACGATAGTTAGGACTACTAAATTTCGTTTTGCGGCTTTTTGCTAACAAACTGTGGCTTCCTTTTTCATTTTAGCTCATACAATTTAGATATAGTAATTAAAAAGTTAGTGTACCCTTTTCCGTCGACTTGTATAGTGTGTATTATAGTTATTATATGTAACAACGGAAATAGAGCTCAATAGAATTCAAAACAATAATATTATTAATGGAGCGTAGGGTCGGGCGAGTGCGATGTTGGAAAAATCATTGTAGTTCCTGTAGATAAAACCATACATCCTATACGCTTCCAAAACAATTTCGCTTATCTGTTTGACGAAGTTTAATCAAGTTTTGTAATTTAAAATAACCACAATTAAATACTATGTAATGGTGATTTTAGTGGGTATAAAATAGAACATTTATTCTGATTTAGTGCCATATACCAGTTATATATGTAGCGTCATATTAATGTCAAAACCATGCAAATATACAACTGTGCTAACCTCCATAAATATTTTGAAATTATTCTAAATGGCTTTTCGCAGCGGCTATTTGTACAATATAATTATTTATCACTGACAAGAAGTAAAAATAAACAACAGAATTAAAACAATTTATCTGAAATTTAAATGTGCTAAAAAGCCAAATTTTTCATCATTACTTAACTGTAAATATTAGGAAACTTGCATCTATCAGTTTTGTAAGATGTTTTGTATTTGCCAGTGATTAACCGTTTCTAGGTTATCGTCAATAATAAAAAGATGCAGTTAAATGGAACAAGTTACAGTGAAAATTGTTACTACTCCGAATCCGGAATCAACTACGTGCGCTACGCGCACAAACACTTGCGACTACATCCTCGAAAAATGCATACCTCGTTCGCAATAACTGAGCCACGAAACCTCGAACTTGCAACATAATAATTGATCACCGTAAATTACTGTACTGTGCACGCGCACGACGTTCCGCACGTTCTGCAATTAATCCCTCCTTAATAAATTACTTAATTGGAAAACAATTAAATTCACTATCGATAACTAATTCAAGAAACGAGTATTGAAGGTCGTCAATGGTACACTCGCCGCACCGATCATCACAACAAAGAAATAACCACTTTTTTTCGGCTGGGAATTCTGATAATGATTTTTTTCAAACTTTGGAGCGAAGACATTCAAATAAAAAAAATACAAAATCCCAACTTTTCGGTATGATTTTTTTAAATTAGCCAAAGACCAGTGTACAATTATTCCTTCCTAAGCGTAAGGTAAAGAAGTATCTCGAAAGTATTAATAGGGCCCATCAGACGACTAACTACTTTCACGTTTTTTCGACGTTTCATGACCTCTAGAGTATTAAAAAATAGGTCTCCTCTTTGTTCTCTGTGTCAATTTATATTAGACAGATAATCTTCGAGACTATCGGACCAATTGTGTAAAATTTTACACGTATGTAAAGAGTAATAACAATATTCTTATATACACAAATAGGTGGTAAAACACTAAATGTGTCTGATCATCCCCACCAACAACGGAACGACGTCATTTCCAAATTTTACAATAGTAAAATTATAGTCATAAAATAACATACTCCTGCACTTGTGGTTTATGAATCCGTATTAAGTATGGAGTAAAACCTCAACGCAAAACCGTGGACATCCAGATTTTTTGAAAAAAAGTCAGAATTGTATAATAAATATTCATATTTATTTTACTTCATCACAAAAAATTCCCAAAATCCAATTTTATAATTGTTCAAAGAAACGGGATTTGTTGGACTGTACTTCAGAAGGGAGGGAAGTTCCGTTGAAATAATCTTCGACCATTTTTAATACGTTTATTATTTGGCCAGCTAAATAGTAGCTTTGGAGAGTAAGATTTTAAAGTTTTCAATTTTAATTTATTATTTAAAATGTATTCTTCATTTTGACAACTTTCCGTTAATTTATAAAGATCTGAAGATGGCTATTTAATTAGCCGAAACCGACCGCCAAAAATAATAATAAATAATCCTGAGGAAGAAGTGTTTTCGAAAACAAAATAAACGTTATGATTGACTAAAAAAAATTTTTGTGGCGGTGGGATTTAAGATCTTTGAAATTTTCTTTCTTCTCAACTTAGCAAAGAATTTTTCTTGCTTTACAATAAATATTTGTATATTTTTAGCACATGAGCCTGCTAATCAATAATGACCATTATTAGCAAGCTAAATACAATCAACATAAAATAATGTTTTCTAAAATTATTTACATTTAAGTACATAATTGATAAAACAAGCAATAGTAAAATCTTAAAGACAAGATTTAGTTACAAGGAAACGCAATTACATCACAATTTTCAGGGGATTTGAATACTATTTTATAAGTTATATTCAAAGAAGTGGGTTTAGCCACAATCTATTGTAGTAGCACCTTAGGTTAAAAACCGGTGTCACTTATGTCAAGTGAATCTTAAAATCCACATCAAATCTTTCACCTGTCATTCTATTTTGACACTTACATGTAGTGGTCAAAGCTTAAAAATTTTTGCAAATGGAGTGTCTGGGATGTCTTTTGTTTCCACTATCCGAATTGTGAAACCAAATTTTTTTTATTCAACTGGTTCTAATCATTGACATGCTAAATCTCAAATTTAAAACGGTTAATTGTTTTTATCTAAATTTCAATTTTTGCGTTTGATCATAAATTAAAAGCTTGCGAGTTAAATACTTATATATTTTTATCAGATAAAACTAAATTTCATAATAATAACATATGGTAGTAAGAACCCAAATTCTTTTATTGTTTTGGATCATCAGTATTTTGACCACAAATATTTGATGTAATTGGTAATACCCAACCACAAATGTCGCACATGGGGAATGGGTAAATAAATCTTTCTTCCGAAGTTTAGATCGTTCGGTTCTCTTTCTAACTCTCCAGAAGTGGAAAATTCAAAGGCTTCGAATTTATTAATTGTCTTCAAGGGTATTTGATACAATGCGCAAGATCTGATGTGGATCTGAACATTCACTTGACATATAAGTGACACTGAAGATGTGACACTATTGGTGTTAACTAACCTAAATTATTATTACATTGAATTGTGGCTAAACCCAGGTCTCTAGGTATAGCTTATAAATCTTTTAATATACAAATTCGTAAGTCTGGACGCAAATAACATTTCTTTGTTACTAGTTTTTTTTTGACGAGTGTTAAAATCAATATTAACAAATGACTTGAAAATGGAACTGCAAGTGCAATCTTGAAAAAATATGTAAACAAATATTGATTTAAATGTCGTGGAATTTGTAGTAAACAAAATACCTGGACAATTGCAGTTGATGTAATAAAAAATACTTGAAGAACATTTTTAAAGCACCACATGCCTAAGATGGGATTCCCTGCTTGATGCTGGGAATCACAGTAAAGTTAAATTAAGTCATCAACGCTGCTAACACCAATAATGGACTAGATTATATGTTGGACTCAGCTCATGATGCATTGGATTTACCACCCAATAAAGTATTGTTTTTAAAAACGTGTTGAAATAAAAATTTGTTACAATGACAAAATAATATCGATAAATTAATTATTTACAGTTGCAGAATGCGTGCCCTTCGTTCCTTGCGATTTCCCATAATTTAAATTATATTAAATTCGCGGTTTGTTGGTTTATTGAAGAACTGAAAAATTAAAGACTACATTATATTTGAAATAACCGCCAAAATAACTTTGCAACAATTAGAAATGCATTCGACCTTGACCCGTAAACACGTGCGTTACATAATTTTTAGAGCACGCGTTCCCGTAGCTGCGCCGCCACTGTCCAACTTACGTAACAAACCTACCGCTATAAATAAAAGGTTGCAACCAACCAATTGGGTAATTGGGGGCCTTAATAATGCGTGGGACCTTGGCAGCTACTCCTGAAGCCGGAACTGGTTCAAGAAAGGTATTTCCATCGCGAAAAACGCGCGCTTGTCATCACCACATGACATGTCTAGAGTAGAGGGGAGGCAGCGTTGCCACGAACAGCAAAAAATCCCCAACATGGCGTACGACGCTTGTCGGAAAAATAACGTCGTTCATGAAGACACTCGGGGATTTTGTAAAAAGGGGTTTCCGTGGAATTTTGTGGAGTTTCGGGGCCGTTTGAGGAGCGAATTAGTGTCCGCGTAGTAAAATTGAGTGTACGGTGCGATGGAAACGTGGGAGCACATTGTGGCAGCCCTGTGCCGACCTGTCAAGTTTCTCTTTCTTTTACTTTCGAGCGTGGTGTCATCTTGTGTGAACAAAATTCTTCGTGTGACCATTTCATAACACGAAAACTCAAACCGAACAAGTTGTCAGTCCAAAATTCACCCCTAAACGAACGAATCATCCCCAAAACCCACAAATTTAGTGGTTTATTATGAATTTTGAAGATTATGAGTCGCTCCCAACCACCAATGTTGTTACGCATATGACCGCCGGAGCCATAGCCGGAGTTATGGAACATTGCGTAATGTATCCCCTCGATTCGGTTAAAGTAAGTAGTTTTGATGAGAGACACCCCGTGCCAGCCCTCGGACGGCGTCCCACATTTTTAGGTTAAGTCGCTTTTAGGTTATGTCAAAATTTGCTGTTGCAGACGAGGATGCAGTCGCTGTCGTCAGGGGGCCGCGACGGGATCGTGGGGACCTTTCGCAGGATGGTGAGACACGAGGGGCTGTTCAGACCAGTCAGGGGCATGTCGGCAATGATGGTGGGGGCTGGACCTTCACACGCTTTGTATTTCAGCAGTTATGAGTTCCTCAAGAATGTCATGATCAAGCAAACCACAACACCCAGATATCACACAGTCATTTACGGTACGAGTATAATTAGGCCTATTTTTGATGAGAATAGTTCAAATAGGGGCAATGATTTTGTGTCACTTATCAGAAAGTAGATTACAATTGAACAAACATCTGCAGTACTTATCTTATTTGCTGAAGACTGCTGCATTATTTACATTGTATCATTCAATCACTTCATAAAAGATTTGCATGGCAAATTACATTGTATTTCGGAGTTATGGTCAAGGTTATTTTTTCACATGAATTACCTTAATTGTGTGGAATTATAATGTTTTCATTTATGATGGTGCAGAATTTTTAAATGTTTTATCTTCGCTTTTTGCCGGTAATATTGCATTAGCGTTTTCGTTTAATGACGGAACTTATCTTATCAGGAATCGGTGACTTTTGAGAGTTGGGAATCTTGGATGGGGCTTTTAGCATTTAATTCTTATCTGTGATTGCATTTAGGTGACCTTGAATTTTATCATGCAATTGCCAAATCACTACATAGGGAAGATTTTTTTATTGACGATTTTGATTTTTTCGCGTGATAATAAAACAAACATTGTTAAATCACTGCATAAATAATTTTTAAATAAATAACTGTTATCTCGTTTAAAAACTAATCATACTTTTTTCTAAACTTTTTGTGAAAGAATAAAAAATACATTTGATACCCCCTGTTGCCATTTTTATAACAAGAATGTTGTAATTAGCGTTATTCGATTATTGAAGCCTTATATAACATTTGTCCAAAACATCAGGGTCATGATGAGTTTATCAAAACAAAATTGTTTTAGTGTTGGGTTCATTTAACAGAAATTAAAAGCTTTGTGGATTGATTGCAGATAGTTTTGGAATTTATTCAGTTTTTACTAAACTGCCATATAATTGTTCAGTTTTTGTAATACGAATTGCAATTATTTTAACATAATATTAGACAAAACGACTCGGAATACATTCGTAAAAACAAATATATGTTGCTTAAAAAATTGCAACTGACATCTTCATTATAACACTTGAAATGTTATCCCAAAATAAATCCCCATAATTAACTCAATTATCACCAATTTTACTCTCAAAAATACTTATAAGAATTGTTTGCAAAGAATCTAATAAATTTTTCAGTCTGGGTGCAGAGGTGAGTGAACAAAGAACATTTGGTCAAATGTACTGATTACATTTCATTGTCAGTGCAATATTTTAATAGAAACAGTGATTAGTAAACAGGAATTTAATTCTGCAATGCAAATTTCAACTTTTGAAGTATTCCAAACAGTTAAAAAGGATCAGAATGTATTGACAGTTTAGTGGAATGTAGCGTAACATTTGATTATTCAAATAAAGTGTCCTTTGGGGCCACTAGCTTACCACAATCGACCAGATTTTGTAAGATCAAAAATCTATTCTAATTTAGCGGTAACTCTCATTTTGTTCTTTGAACTGCATTTTCGATACTTGGTAAGTCGCTATTGTTTAACTAATTTTTGAAACTGCTTTGATAATCAAATACCCTACTGACATAATAACAAAAATAACAGTGTCAACTATTATGCAACTGCACTGTAGCGCTGAATTTTTCTCAGAAACATGGCAAAATGCCATTAAAAGAAATTAACAGCAATTTATGCAATTTGCACCTATTCATTCTCAAAAATTATTCTAATGTATCATATTAGAAGTATTTTAATTGGAATTAAGTGGCACTTTGTAACATCAAATTTGAAGTCTGTTATGATAACATTAGTTACGTCATGATTCTTTTCGTTGCAATGTCATTTATATATCTTTTAATTAACTCAGGTATTAATTATGTAACAAGTACTAATGGTTTTTGTCACTACAGAAGCGTTTATATTCCGCAATCTAGGATTTTAGAAAAAATTGGAAAATCCAAAAAGATTGTGCCGGTTAATGTAAGGGAAAAAAATTAAAAACCACAAATAACAAATATTAATTAACATTTGTCCTTAACTAATGTGCTTTTACAATTGAAGAAAGTTGTATGTATCGGAGAGCTGCCAGCTAAAAGTGTGACTCATGTTTTAAAATGTGAATAGGAGCCTTTTCGCAAAATTAGAAAACAGAAATAAATTATGTCAAAGGTTATATTGCTTGTCGCGTTTACTAACTAGCTCGAACTTCCAAAACCAACAATTTCTTCTTACAGTGTTTAAGAACAAAATCTTTTAAAACCATACATTTTACAGTTCTCTTCCAACACTTGTAAAATTTGAAAGCAGTTGCATAACAGAAGATGAAAGTGGAATAAATTAAACTTGATCAAACTGCTCTTAATATACGATTATAAAACACAATGATTTAATAGTTTTCTCAGAAATGTCGCCACCTTTTCATTTAAAACCGACTCACACTTTTATTGTGTGTATTTTTATTTCGAACAACTTTATGATCTCCAATAAATATCAACCTAATTACTACTTTAATTTTCCTGCAAATGATAAGAACAAAGGTTAATCTAAAGTAAACACTGTCGCGTATGCGTGGTTTAAGTCAATTTAAAAAAAAAACCGCTTTTCACACTTATTCTTTGTTAATTTTGAGTTATAAATATTTAATGCAAGCATTGTTTTCACGTATTTTCCACTATATAAAAGTACTGTGGTGTTGTTGTAAACGTACGCTTGACGAATTATAAAATGAAACATTTCCTAATGATATGTTCACGTGGCGCGACGTTTTTTTACAACAGGACGATGATTTTACAGTGCAAGTCCAATTCCGACGTTCTTAAATGAATTTATTATGACATATGAAAACTTAATCAAAACGCGTGACACTAATCTGTAATTACAAGTACCGACAATTAAGTTTAGATAATCGAACGTGCCATCAAAAAGTTTTCTGATTAGAGTATCCTATGGAAATATTTTCCTGTCGTGGTTTATATTGTTGTTATTTATTGACGTATCTTATCACTGTTAATATCAAAGCTTACGTATATCTGCCCACGAACACCCTGCTAACCAGTAAACTTGTTTAGCAAACTTTTAGAGGGCATGTTACATCACCTTGAAACCCCGACATATTCAGTTTTATTAAAATCGGATTGTTCTAGGTCGACACTTTTATTGTCATACCTTTCAAGTTCGTATTTCTTATCTTGTTTTTCTGGTCATAATTTATATTTACTTCGAACTTTAACAGCTTGTTTGTTTAAACCTAGCTGCAAGTACTTAGTTTTTCAGTGTTGCACAGGCACACTTGAAAAGAAATCTAAAACTGTAGTTCGAGAACCCATTGTTAGAAAACGTTAAGTCCAACTTAAAAAGTTAAATCGGTAGAAATATTGTAGTACGTTAAAGAAATTAACGTTGTTACAAGTATTTTTCCCATTGTAGATAAACTAATATGTTGAAAACTGTGCTGCATTTTTTATGTATACTACATTTAACAGTTGACATTTATGATATCTAACATTTCATGCATAGCAATATTTTCGAAACGCATTTGTTATCAGTCTTACGTAACCACTTGTGTTTGCGGTTCAAGTTTTAAAATAATGAAATAAGTAATTCACGCTACAAGTGAAATAAACCAACAACGAGGGACTAATAACTAACTGCATCTTTTCTCGACGTTTTATAGTTCTTAGAATATGAAAAAGTAGGTCTTCATTTCCGTCTGTCTATCGCCTGTTGCGATTGCGATTTTATCATACAGATAATCGTGGAAATTTCAGAAATATATTACTTTTACACATTTGAGTAGAGACATTCCAAAAACTGTTTAATTTTAACATGCTTTTATTAGCTTGATTTGTAACAAACAATGTAAACAAATCTATGAAGTCGATTTTAACCTACTTATAATTATCATATCGATTTAAAACTTTGCAAGGATGTTTAGTTTGGTATAGTTGTCCCAGTCTGACTTCGTTTTTATGGCACTGCAATCTCAACTACCGCAAGCATTAGGAACTCTATTGAAAATGTAAATAGCCGTGCCACATATCATTGTGGAAGACTTAGCTCCTTCACAATAGGATGCAGTCGTAAAAACGAACCAGCACTTGGAACACTGTACTATCGAGCAGTGGGGTCCACTCTACTCTCGAAATTTTTCCATGTCACAAAATTTGAGTGCAATTCTAGATAGTCGTGGCAAAAATCACATTTACCGTTAAAAGCGTGTTTTTTAGTTTTTTTTTAACTATGATTATTTATGAAGTGTTCCAGGTAGTTTTGCTATGACACGTACTTGACTCATATTGATTGTCTTAAAATTATTTTACAGTATGTGTGCCAACTGAAAATTACTCAAAACTACTATTCGTATAGAAAACTTACAACTTTGAATATACAGAAAAAAGTCGTTTAGCAGCTTGTAGCGTTTTCGGTTTCTCCGGAAATGAAGGTAACTTCTATTTTATTTCAGATTACACCTTTTCGAATACCACTTTTTTTAAGGATTAGGTGCACCTGAAAGAAAATTCGAACGTTGTTTAAAGTGGATTCTGTGATTACAATTTTATATCCATACACGACTTAAACAGAGCGAGAGGAGTTTTTAACTAAATTAACCAGGATAAGAAAAGCTCAGCAGGGAATTAAACTTGCTGCCAGTATGATTAAGTACAAAAATGGAATTTCATTTTATATGCAGTGGAGATTGTGTACACTAATGAATTTTATAATACACACTACGGTTGAAGTTATTATTTTTTTGTTTTAAATAATAGTGAATATAATCTTGTAATTTTTTATGTTTGAAAGAATGATTTAAAATAAAAGACAAGAATACAAAAGAAAGTGTTTCTACTTAGACGCTTTCGTGACACTTCTACTTTCATATTAGTTAAACAACTTTCGCTCTTGTTATTATATTTGATAAATTGTGTCTTTTTTGTATTGTGGTGTGTTTCCAAATTTCGTATCAAATTAAGTACAATCTATGCAGATCATTTAAATGATTTGTTGGTGTTTGTTTCAGTTTTTTTTACACACTCCCTGTACTTAGGGTACTTGTCAACGATATAGATTCTCCTTTGTTGTATTGGTCTCTATCATGCAATCTGTGACCTTTGCGTAATAACAGTGAGAAATTATTGATCTCAATTTTTTCTCGAAAAGAATTTATCCAATAATTCCACTGTAACTACTGCACGGCAATAATTTTATAATAAAATTTACACGGAGATTTTTATTACATACTTTTTATTTTTATTTAAACGGTTAATATTAAAAACGTATTTTTTATTAAGTTGTGAGTAACAATTAAAAATAACTACTCCGCGCAATTTACAGCTTCGCGGGGCGCGTGGAATTACATCGCTCGGTGTAGTCCTCTCGTTACGGGTTGGGTGGAATTGCGGCTCTCTGCGCTATTCGTCTTCGCGAAATTGCTCAGCGATCGTAAGTGCAATTCTAGAGGAAGCGAGGATTGCGTAAGCCCTGCCAAGTACAATTTTTGGTCGAGGGAATAAGTTGGAGTTACCAAGTAAACGACTGGTATTGGACGCAAAAAAATATCATTTGAATTATATTTGTTTCATGGTTGAAGTTACTTGAAAATTTTGTCATATTATTAGTTTGCCTAGTCCTATTTAAAAAATACAAATAAACATATTGGACAAAACCACTCGTACTGTAACTATGATTTTTTTTTCACTTTTGGTATACATATGAAATAGTTTTAGAACAAATTTTTATGCCATTGATTTTTTTTTCCGGTACAGGTTGGAATTTTTATTTTTTGATAGTCAATTTTAATCCAGAACGGTTAATCCAGAACGGTAATTCGGCAGCTAGCAACTAGTTACAAGTTTTTTATTTTTTTTTATTAATAGCAAGCTCCTTATGTAAATGAAGATATTTTGTGTTTTTGGTTTTATTCAGTTTTAAATTATTTTGTTTAAATGGTTGTTTTTATTTTTTAAATGGAATATAATTTCTTGTTTCTTATTATTTTACTTACGTCATGGTTTTCGGGATTTGTATTCTATGCTGCTCTAATCTAATTACCGTATATGACTAGTAGCTTGTGCAGCGAATATATATATTAAATGTATGTAAATTATCAAGGATACTTACAGGGACGCGAATTTCGTTACCATTTTGTGTCATCACGCTTTGAGACAAAAATGGTTAAAATCGTATCATAATTAATAGTAATAATAATATGAACAATCTTTGACGTACTATAGTATTTCAGTCATATGGTATTATGTATACCTAGAGGATGTTGTACCACTTATGGGCAGGGCCAAAGTGACTATACTTCATTTACCGAACAGATAGAGTTGTAAGTACGTGATCTTTTAAAAGTCTAATATTATTGGTCGAGGAGGTCTGAAAGTTTTCAACAAATTTTACCTATCCTTTTCGCTGAAGTCAACTGGAGCTTTAACCCTTACTTGTGCCTCTATGTCATCGTGCTTGTCTTCAGTTTCCTCTCTTTTTTTGTGTTTTGTTTTAATCGTTGGTCTTTTTAAACACTAGTATTTGCTAAGATAAGACTGATTTTGGCAAATGACATATCCTCCAAGAAAATGGAATGCGGGTGGGCGGGGCTAGTATTTGTTAGGCAAAAACTGATTTTGGTAAATAACAAACTCTCTAAGAAAATAGGGGGAGGGATTTTGACATTTTTTATAGTTTCGACCATTTTTCAACCATTTTCCAAAATTAGCTAGACATTTGAAATTCATTTTTCCGATTTTTTCGGAGATTTCTAATCAGCGACTAGTAGTAAGAAAATATTATCTACAAATTTTTTCCCAAATTCACGGTTACGAAGATAATCCAAAGAAAACTGCCATCCAATAACACTTATGTAAATTTCGACCCATTTTTCACCATTTTCGAAACTTACTTAAATACATTTTCTTGTAGATTTCGAGCTCCAGACTCCGGACTCGTTTCTTTGGTAACTAGAAACGTTGTTCCAAAATTGATTGATATTTCGCAATTTTTAGAATTTTTAAAAATTCGATTTTCAAACCGAATTGTTGCGAAAATATTGCTCAGAAACCACAAATACGTTATAATTTAGGAATCGGCATGTCGAAATTTATATCCGAGAATTTTTTGAGGATTTTTAGACTTTTGTAAAAGTGAACTTTCCCTTATGCAAATTTCGACCCATTTTTGACGATATTCGAAATTTAATTAAATACATTTTCTTATAGATTTCGGGCAGCAAAAGTCACTTCTGCCCTCATTTCTTCTATAACTCCAACCGTTTTTCCAAAATCGTCCATTGAAATATCGCAATTTTGAAAATTACCAAAAATTCGAATTTTACACGGAATATTTCGAAAATATTGCGCCGTTACCTTGAGCATGCTATATTTTTGGAATTAGCACATCGGGATCTATATCCCTGAATTTTTTCAGAGTTTTTAGAGGACTTTTTCAAAAATGAAATGTTTCCAGTGATTCCCCATTCTTCAAATTTCGACCCATTTTTCACCATTTTAGAAATTTAGTTAAATACATTTTCTTGTAGATTCCGATCTCGTTTCTCTGATAACTCCAACCGTTTTTCCAGAATCGGCTGTTGAAATATCGAAATTTTCAAAAATTCGCATTTCGTACCGATTCTTTCGAAAATGTTGCTCCGTGACCATTAACACGCTATATTTTTGGAATCAACATGTCGAGATAGTACGTCCCTGAATTTTCTTTTTGAGATGGAAAATATAGTCGAGTCTTTGATTATAAATCTTCAAGAATCAGATCCTACTTCAGAATTTGATTTCTCGGTTAGTGATGGATAATGTTTTTATTATATTTTCATTATAAAAGGCTCTTATAAATTAGAATATATATTTTCTTTTTAATTTATTATTCTATTAATACATTCTTCCATTGAGTTGGCTAGTTTACCACAAAACTTGTTATTAAGTGATAAAATTATCCGCAATGACAATTTAATTAATTCGGTTTTTTGAACGCTCACTCCATCTGTTCGGTAAACGGACTTTATTTTTTAGCCTATCAGTTTGAGAATTCTCACGCACATGGTCATTTATTCCTGATAAAATGACTCCTTTGTGTTTAAAATTAAGTTTTTAATTTTTCTTCTGGCTAACACGGGTATTAATTCCAAATTGACATCTTCTGATATCGTCTACGCCAAGAGAACTGACTGAACGTATAGAATATGAGAAAAATACATATTTGAAATAGATTAACTGTCAAAATAATAATATCTTCAAGAAAATTGTAGAAAAAATTAGCTCAATGCACTTGACCATCTTCAAAAATCATTCAATTAAAATAAACTAAAACAACTTATTTTTTGTTATGAATGATCATTTTTATAGGCGCGTCCGGTTGTATATCCACGCTCCTCCACGACGGCATAATGAACCCCGCCGAAGTCGTCAAGCAACGCATGCAGATGCTCAACTCACCCTACCGATCAGTAGTTCACTGTTTTATCAACGTGTACCGACGAGAGGGAATCTCCGCCTTCTACCGCTCCTACACCACCCAACTCACGATGAACATACCATTCCAGAGCATACATTTCATGGTGTACGAAGTTGCCCAAAAAATAACGAACAAAGAAGGTGTGTACAATCCGCCGGCCCATATGGTGAGCGGGGCGCTGGCGGGAGGCATTGCGGCGGCCGTGACCACGCCCCTCGACGTTTGTAAGACCCTCCTGAACACGCAGCAGGAGGGCGCCACAACGGGTTTGGTGGAAGCCGTGAAGAAGGTGTATTTGTTTGGAGGCCCGATGGGGTACTTCAGAGGGCTGCAGGCCAGAGTGGTGTACCAGATGCCGGCGACGGCGATTTGTTGGTCTACGTACGAGTTCTTCAAGTATTTGTTGGGACGGAGCGGGGAATTGAGGGTGGTGAGTAGTACGGCTGCGGAGGTGGAGCCGCTTGTCAGACTCGAGGCGACGGAAAAGGTGAATGCAAAGCCGAGGGAGCTGCCGGCGATGTCAGGAGCGGGGATTTACGGATCGATCCAATTCAACACGATGCATTCGGACACGGGGTACACGAACAGGAGGAAAGACTCGATTCTTGATATCGTCCATACCTAGTGTGTATTTACGATTTTTTTTAATACGTAAGTATTAGACCGGTCACCGAACATGGTTTTCTATTTTCATTTTTCAAAATTTGTAAATAGTGGCGTTACGGCTTACCGAATCTTAGTTTTAAGTATGACGTACACTTGTAGCTTTGGTAAGCTGGAAATGCACGTATTTTTGACAATACAAGCACTAGTGTTAATTAGGAGTAGAAACCGGCGACGTTCGATATTTCAGTATCCATCGACGTGGCGATTTGCGCCCAACTCACAAAGTCATACTAACCACTTTCGAAATTCTATTTTTTTATCGAATATTATTTGCGAAGCAATAACGGGAATATCGGACCCATTGGCTGATGGAGGAAACCATGTCAAAACTCGTTACTAACAAGAAACAAAAATACTATTTATTTTTTATTCGACCCTTTTGCGGGTGACTCGGATGATAGAAATACTTCCACTGATTAAAAAAAAGGCGTTGTGACGTCGACAGAGTAGAATTATGTTGCAGCATCATATTCTGTTTCCGTTTTCTGTGTATTCGAGTGTTGCGGGAGAGAACCAGATTTATTTACGAACAGAAAGTGTGACCTTGAGTCACTCATCCGCGAGATTTTTGCTCTTGTATTGCCGTCACGAAGACGCTGTTTAGACTGTGATAAAGTCCTTATCAACTATTTTTTGTACGTATGATACTGACTTCGTTCAGATGGGAGTACTATCATATTTTATATGTTATGTAGAAGGCTCTACGGTTTTTACAAACAGAGATTATGTCTTCTATGTATTGTGATAAGCGACCTTGTCACCGTTACGTTAGATTATTTGAGTTTTGTGTCATATTGTTTTTTTCCAAGAAAAATTTGTAAAAAGAATGTTTAAATATAATAAATGTTACACAAATAAGGTCTTATTATATATTATATATATATACACACCTCTTATTGTTTTGTCATCTCTTTTTACTGTTTCCAAGAACTGAGTCCAACCAAAAGAATCTACCCGGTGTCTGAACTCGGGAGAATTTATTATATCGCATCTGCATGTAACTAAAATTTTGCGGATCTCTGTTCGCACCATTGGTCTTTTTCATCGCACCCCAACCAATACATCCAGGACACGTTTTCTTTTCAGATTTCCTGTTGAAGTACACCGTTTCCCGGTTACTATTATCTTTAAAAAAATTGCGTCTCCTGACTGCAATAATGCGTATGCTAAGAGGTTTCGCTCACAATCTACAGCAAAAGGAAGGGCATAGAAGGAGATAGTGGGGGTGTTGGTCAAGAAGGGGCGTGCCTTAAGTGAGCTACCCTACGTTAAATAACAACTGCTGCAAACTTAGGAAATTATATCCAGAGTTTTAAATGATTAAGATGGTTTAAGATTCTGGAACACTGCTACTAACTCATAAATCATTTGGTATTAAGTTTCGGAAGATTAACAAAAAAAGCTTCATTGTTACATTGACTTTCTTAAATCTTATTGCGCATGTCGATTTTACTGATAAAGAAGATAAGCTAATTCTATCACGTTAACCTTGAAGGAGGATTTCAGGACGGAAATGCCAACATGTGAGCAGTGAAATCTACCAAGTTATAACTTTGAGAACCACGCACGCAGAAGCTTTATAACAGATTCTGCACCTTCCTGCCACGGCTTTCGAGGCCCATTGAGATTTACAAATGTCCGGAGGCAAGGTACTTCACCTTCAATCGAACCAGCAACCCACAAAATGTAAAAGTTTGGCGTCAAAATAACTATCAGCTACAAAAATATCCTCTTTCTTTTCAAATGCAAGATTAGAAATGTCGGTACATAACTGCAGCTTGTTGTGGAATGTACACAGTTCTCCAATTCGCAACATCTTATCTACAGTGAATGGATGCCAAGGCCCAATTTATTACTCGGTGTTGTACAAATTTAAACACCTACAAACAAAATCAAAATTTATCAGGAGTTCAAATTATAGATCACGGACAGACTAGCATTCACAGAATATCAGCTCAGATGCCACAGTTCGCAAGGAATGTTAAAAAAATTACTTTGATGAAAAGAACTGACATGAGCAAAGTTGAAACAAGTTAAACTTCTTCACATGAATATAATTTTATACATATGACCGTCTTCGCCTGAAATCTGTACTCCCGAATTATTACTCGGATTAAAATGAATTAAAAACTGCAAAGCTACCAAAATTTCGTAACACCACTCTCTAACAATAGTACGATTAAAATCTCCATGATGTTATTTATATTCAACAAATCAAAATTGATCAGTCAAGATTACATCGTGAATCGAATTCCCCATCACATACGTATACACATATTTATTAAATATGGTCGAAATCACAATAATGTCGTTCGGTACACACTTCGTTATGAGAGGAGTGCCCGACAATAAATATTGAAAATCCAGATCGTAGAACACATAAATTATAACGAGAATTAGACACAGCCGAAGTGATGGGCAATCAACCGGACAAATATTAAAAACGACAGCGCGACATCAGTCGATAAATTTGGCTGGCCGACTGTGCAGTCTCAACCTTAGTGGCGTTTGATGCAAATCAGGGTTTATCTAAGCAAGATCATCACGAATCTTGAACAGTCATTTTTAATTTTTTTTAAGCATTTTAACATCTAGGAGAACTTGTATAACTGAGGAAAACCGAGAAAAGGTAGTCATTGTTATTAAGAATTCCCGAAGTTGCCGAAGTCTGATGATAACACAACATCAACATAAAATCCCCTTTCCCTCTTCGAATTCACGATAACATTTTCTTACTAATTCTTCAAAGCGCGTCACTGTTTAAAATTAAATCTTGAAAACTGCAAATTACTATTTTAAAATTCCCAACTGAGAATCTATTGAATTTAAATAATAATTTTAATTTTTTAGACATTTCACAATTTAAGGATTATAAAATATTGTTTTTTTTTTTAATATTTTTTTTCTGTTTGGAAAGAATTTGAAAGTGCTTGGGAGCCTCTATTGTCTGCTCTTATAATAATTTAATTCAATTTCGTATTTGCTAAAATCAGTCTTAGCAGGTACTAGTCCCACCCACCCTCTTATTTTCTTAGAGAATATCTCATTTGCCAAAATCAGTCCTAACAGGTACTAATCCCACCCACCCGCCCTCTTTTTTCTTAGAGGGTATGTCATTTGCCAAAATCGGTCTTATTTTAGCAGGAACTAGCACCGCCCACCCACCCTCTCTTTTCTTAGAGGGTATCTCATTTGCCAAAATCAGTCTTATCTTAGCCGGTGCTAGCCCCGCCCACACACTCTCTTTTCTTAGAGGGTATCTAAGTTGTCAAAATCAGTTTTATCTTACCAGGTACATGCTAGCAAATACTAAAGTAAGACTGCATAATAATAAGAGTAGTCACTAGAATGAAGAGGGGATCAGTGGGTGGGATACTGCTTGCTTCTAAGACTCTTAAAAAAAAGTTAAACTCAGCTCCGACCACCTTTTTTCTCTATTTCACTGACTTATTTTATTTTCTGTATAGTGGGAATTGAATTTTATTTTGACAAGCCCGTAGAAGCTAAGATTTAAAACAACGTGAGATGGACAAATTGTTAATTAAAGTTGTCGTGATCTTTTAATTACACATGGGGGTAACGATGGTGTCCTTTTAATTTACTACTCATTTACCCTTTGGTTAAATTTTACCAACAAAATGAAACTTACAAGTTTCAAACACATGTGATCTCTACACAAAGACTTACGTCCCTTCACTACCACTGACGGAATAAATCTGAATCTCGACTCGAATAGTGAACCAAAAGCCCCCTACTACTCATGAAAGCAGCAAACATTACTGAAATGTATATATTCATAAATATCACGAAGGCATAGATTTGTCAAATTTAGACATTTTCGAAAACCATTCCTCCAAATTTACATCAAAATGTCCCGTATTGCCACCTTAAGCAAAAAGACCGACAAAACCCAAAACGTTCAAGTCACTCGAAAATGTGGAGGACGTCCAGTGCCAGTTGGAGTCCCGGGAGGTGCAGCACCATGCCCCAATAAAGGCAAACCATGTCCGCCTTGCACCCGTGGAAAACCGCCGGTACCAACAACAAGCAGAACCCAGATTTCACGAAGAAATGTGTCGACAGGATTAGGGAAGTCTCTGGCACACGTGCGACCGAGCGATGAGGGCTTAGAAGTAAGTAGAAACAGTGAAGATTTAAAAATAACCAGACCGTACCCAAGGCCCCGTCGCTATTGCAAAAAAGGGTGTTTAAACAAGCTCTCGCTAAATCAGTGCGAAAACCAGGACAGAAAGTGCGCAGTGTAGGAGCCTCGCTAACCGATGTTAAGGATCCCATGATCAAGACGAACAGAGGGAAAGAGTGCGTGTTGCAACAAATGAAAATGGAGACGACGGTACAAAGAACTCCGAAGGCAGAGTACATAACGAAGAGCATGACAGGAATTGACGTGGGACCTTCAGGGGTGGGAAAGCAGCTGCAGATAACTACGCACCAAATGTAAATGACGAGATTTTTGTTTTCATATTTAAAAATTTACTGGTTATAGAGATCCTGCACATGGAACGGAATCGGTACTATCTATCACTCCGTAATTTTAGGGACTTTAACGTATTTTTAGGCGGGAGTCAATGAGACCATATCAGCCACTAGTTCTCTCTCTATTACGTCAGGGGGGAGGAAACTGCAAAAGGGATTCAAGAGAAAGACACTCATTGTAGCGTAACTTCTTGTGGATTTCTTAACCTGGATCACCTGTTTCAGTCCGAGAAACTTGCGTCGAAACCAAACATGAACCCTCACCACATCAACCGTTTAATCAAAGAAGAAACCGAAGATGTGGAGACTACTCTTAAGATGGTACCACCAGATTTAGCTACTACTTCTCTGGAGAAGTTCCCTTTGAAAAAGAAGCTTCAAAATTTGAGGCTCAACGCGGAGCCTGTGAGTATTTTGACAGAGTCGGTCATTCACCCAGCACCCACGGCTGACGAAGTGGATGCCGAAGCTCCTCCTGAAATCCTTGCTTCGGTGATGGATGCTGTTGAAAAGGGTGCAACCCCGGCCACCGCTCCTAACCAAATCTTCAATAGTTTATTTCCCGAGGTGGAAGAACCTCGAATCAATATTAGGTACTTTTATTTTGACGACTGGTACGCTTGCACCTTTCGATAGTTCCGTAGCACCTGGACCTTTAGAGGACATAGTCGTACCGACAGCTCAGCCTGTTAAACTCGTCGAAGAAGTACTTACTCAAGAAATGGAAGAGTTTCTAGTTTTGGAAATACAAAGTAAGAAGGAACTTCCAAGGGACGATATTTGTGCCGATAAGAATATAATTCCTGCGGCTTATTCTCCGGAAGGTACTAACACACCAGTGTTCTTTTATTGTGTTTTAACCTAGTTTGTAGAAATACCGCCAGTTCCTCTGGTCTTGGAAGGAGAACTGCCTCCATGGGAAGATGCCACGGTGGTAAAACTATCTTCTCTAGTGGGCGCGGATCCGATGGATATGTTGGAGGCGAGCGATATATCTATTTTGGAGTCACCGGAAGACTTAAATCAGGAGTTATCTAAAGGCATCGACTATTTTATTGATGCCGATGTGGCACCTTACGAAACCAAAATTCAAATTAGAGGGTCTAAACCACCCAAGTGGTTTCCGGGTATGTGTGTGTTATTTTGTGCGTTTATGTTCATGCGTTTTTCAGGATATATGTCGGCTTTTCCGCATTTACCTGAACTTGTAAAGATTTCAACTAAGCCTAGCGAGGTACTACATGCGGCATGGAAAGCCGTACAACCGAAAGTTTTCCCCGATGAATCTATCTTGATAGTGTAAAGACGGAGCGAAAAAAATAAAACAAAATTTTAGTGACTACTGCATTTTATTTTAATAAGACTAAGACTTATATGCCTCGATCGAAAAAGACATATTTTGGGGGGTGATCGTAGAATTTTTTACATATAAAATCCTATAAGCAAACACCGTACAAACGAACAGAGCACCTCTTTTACTCACCTTAGCCTCGGGTTCCAAATGCTTGAACGGTATTGAACCCCTTTGACTTACAAGAGCACACGTTAGAGGCGAGACGAATGTCAAACAAAGAAAAGCGATTCCCACGTGCCCTGCAAAATTTAACCAAGGATACCTACACAGGCTACCTCTTTGTTCCAACTGATGCATAATGATAGGCGTCAGCCCTAAAAACAGTTATTATTAATTGAAGTAACACCTACCATGACGCTAACCCATCGGAGGGAGAGCATTCAAAATCCTATGGGCAATTACACCGCTTGTTCCGGCTTGAGCTGCCATTTTTGAATAACCCAACTTGCTATCAGCATCGTTGTAAATAGGAGTTCCATTTTTAAGCACTCTGAAAAGTAGTTCTAACAAGGTTATTTTATGTGTGAAAATGCGTACTGTGCTCTCATCAGTGGGACGCTAATACAATGAGCCGCCGCAACAGCCGCCAATGGCACAAATCTGGCTAGGAGATAAGGCGAACATCTCATGAGACTGTTGAGTCCTAATGCTGTTCCAATGGCAGTACCAGTGGCCAGTCCACACGATGTCATCAGTTGCGCGTCGGTAATAGGACTTTCGTCGTCCTTATAGGCATAAGCCATCACTGCATTGTATGTCTGATTTAACCAGTGCCAGAGAACAACTCCAAGGGGGATCTGATAAGACGCCATCATCCCTCCTGCTAATAAAGAGTTCATAGGAACGTGAGCAGGAGGTCTGGCAATACCCGTAATTCTTTCACCGGTTTCTGGGTGGTAACCTGATTCGAACAGGTTTTTTGCTTTCCATAGTTCTTCGTGTTTTATTTCTCCAGGTAAATATTGTTCACACCTAAAAGTACTCATAAATATTTAGACAGCAGATGATATTACGTACCTGTAATTGATATACAAACATTTAGCGTCTTCTAGGGACTCCGACGAGACAAAAAGATTTAAAGGATTGTGATGAAGTAAGTTGTTTTTGACTCTACCCCAGTAAGAATCGGGGTCATATCGAGGCTGAGAAAAGTCAATGATTTCCTCTCTTGAGCACATTTTTGATTAACATAAAACTGTAATTTTAATCTGAAAAGGTTTCAAGTTTGCACATGAAACATTGTGAAGGAAATCGTATTGTTTGACATGACTTCTGACAATGACAGTGACAAACCTTGTTTTCTATAGAGGAATTACTTATATGGTTCTCCAAACTCCAAATGGAATTAGCAACATTTCCTGCCCTTGGAGTATTTATCTTTATTTTATAATCCAGATTTATCTATTATTCCTGTGTACGATTCTTCCGAACTCAAATTAACGACGAAAATATAAAGAGAAGCAGAACATTTTATTTTAGAAAAACAAGATGAAACGTCAATGAGTAATTAGGAACATGTTAGTTTCACTTTCAAGAATCATGTTTCAAAGAAAAATAATTGAGACATATCGTATGATTATGCTTTATTGTAGGCGTCACATCTGTCCTTATTTAAAGACCTTTATTGTAATACACATATTCTGGCGGATGATCCCCAAACTTTTTATCTAATTGCTCCTGCAACAATCCAAGGTTCCACCAAGTCACACAAAAATCTCTTTACCTTCAGCTCAGGTTCTAACTTCCTGTAAGCTATTTGCGCCTTCTGCTTAAAAAATGCACAGGCCAGTGGCGTCGTGAATATCAGCACCACACCGCAAAAAGCCGTCTGTACTGGCAAATTTATCCACGGGTACCTCTTCAAAACGCCCCTTTTCTCCAAATAGTCCATAAGCACCGGCGTCAGCGCTAAAACAGCCCAAATAAAACCCACTCAATCCTCGTCAACACTTACTCATTCCAGGCACTGCCATACTAATCCTACTGAAACAAACCTGTGCGATACCAGTTCGCGCCGCCCGTTTCGAATTCCCTAACCTATTTCTTTCAGCGTCAAAGACCGGTGTCCCATTGGTTAGTTCCTGCGCTCGCATTAACGGTATATTGACGCAATTGGCTGCCGCGCACGCTGCTAGCGGCGTCAGCCGGCCCACAAGAGGCGGAGCGTTCTGTAACGCCCAATCAAAACAAGCGCTTCAAACCCCCACCACTTACCCTACATAACCGGTTTAAACTGAGCGCTGTTGTGACCGCTGCGGTGGTGGCGAAAACGTACGAACTCGCGACTTGCTTGCCTGTGAAAGTGGCATCTCCGCTTCTGTTTGTGTAGTTAACCATGGCGTTGAAGGATTGGTTGAACCACTGCCAGAAGAGAACACCGCTGGTGGTGTTGTAGAAAGCGAGGAGGCCTCCAGTGATTAGCATGTTCATGGGTACTTGAGCTGACATGCGCCCTAGAAGGAACATTTTTTCGCCGGTGTCGGGGTGGAAAGCTGAGTCGTAGAGGATTTTGGCTCTCCATAAATCGTCTTCGGTGGTACCAGGAGGAAGAGGGTGTTTCAATCTGCGGAGGGTTAATGGAAAAGAGTTGGGTTGAGGTTTACCTATATTTGGTGACTAGGGACTTGGCGTCTTCGAGTTGTCGGCTGGTGGCGAAGATGTTTAAGGGGTTAGTTGTAAGGAAGAAGTGTTTGGCGCGACCGATGAAAGTGTTTTGGTCGTAGCGAGGCTTTTCGATGTCGATGTTTATGGCAGGCATTGTTTTTGATCATTTTGTGGTCATACAATGAGGGAAGAGATTGACATGGAGGTGACGGTTAGATGACATATTTTATAAAATGTAGGAACACTTCGCATTTCTAATCATAATTGCTCACTAAAATATAGCGATCCAGGTACTTTTTCATTTCAACAACACATTTTTATACCCAAAAAAACCTGCCGCATATTTACTCTTTACTCAGTCTTTCAAAATGGACTAACGTTTAGATCAGTTTAATGTCATAAATGAACTACTACCAATCTAGAGTGAGAAATTAAGAAATGTGCTATAACGTAACAATTAAAACACCCAGAAACCTTAGTTATAATAACTTGATAAACAAGAGATTGAAGCCTGAATAAGTAAATTTCTTAACAGTGGTTTATATGAACAATTTCATGACTGTTAAATTGTGTTAGAACCAAGAACAATTAAAAATCTTATTATGTGCTGTGAATTTATAAATAATAAACAAACATTAACACCATGCTTTAACATTGGCGAAACTTCACAACATTTCAGATAAAAAGACGCTTAATTAATTACAAGTGACGCATCAAAACCAAAACGAAGTCTTTCCCGTGCATTAATTACCATTAACAACCCCTCACCAACAACCAACTTAAAGATTGGCATTCACTAATTCCCCAGACCACTCTAATTGAAGTTGAATATAATAGCCTATAAGGAATTCACGTTCGGTAGATGTAACTAGATTTGGTAACTTTTTTTTTTAAGCTGTGTAACTGCGGGCATAATTGTTCTAGTGTATAATGTATAATTGGAATGTCAGAAAGTAGGTATCAAAAATGTGACATGTAAGTAAGTAAATATCAAATATCGAAAATGTGATGGTTTTGTGGTGATCTGCTGAATCTATTTTTGAATCCAGGAGAAAATTGTATCCCTCTAAAAGCCCAAAGAGCAACCCGCATGTAAAATTGTGAATCTTTTCCCTTCACTAGTTATTTTAGGAGGACAAGCTTCGATGTCATCATCATGGATCCACAATTTTACCATGGATTCGTTTTGGTATATCCATGTCTCATCCAAGAAAATGAAAAGTAAATCTTCACCACTATCACGCAATTAGAGATACCGCTTTAGAAATTTGATTCTGGTAGCTATTTAATGTGAAAAACTTCGCCTTCGGAAATCTAAATTTATACGTGTATTACGTACAATTATTCTCCAAGCCGAGTATTTTCGCGTTTACAAAACAATAACGATTATATAAAATTAAAAACCAATTGTAGGGCGGACCCAACAAAGCATGTAGGTATATAAATCTGGGCAGTCGTCTTTCTGATTCTGAGTATAATATTAATGGCACCGACGCCGTTGTATCGGTATTATTTTAAAATTCGAAAAACACTCGAGAACACCAGCGAACTTTACGGAAAATATTTCTGCCACCAGTTTAACTGTTTGCGTTTTACCCAAAGATTGTCTATTTTTCTCTGTAATTTTTTGAAAACCACGAAATATTTCTTGTTTCTTTTCCTTTAAAATGGGCTTTCTCGTGACCACTTTTGTGGAAATTGTTTCCACGCTGTATTTAAGGATTTTCTTCAAACGAAGCGTGTTGAAATTAGAAAAACTTCGTTTTTTTCCAGACAATTCAGATTTGACATTTGAATTACAAAATTAGACAGTTGATACCAATCTTTAATTTCTAGTGATCTTAAGATTGCAACTTAACCACAGAAAACTTTCTGTTAGCTACTTCTACCGAACGTGAATGCTTATTATGTTTAACGATTTTGTTAATTTAATTTGTAAATTCAAAATATTCAAGTGCGATTTCACAGCGTTGGTGTTTTTTCTCTCAGAGCGCAATTGAATTCAAACTGGGGCACCACAATATCGAGTGCAAATTGTTTAGCCTTCATTCTGGAGAGAGAAAATCTGTGAACACATTTCAGATTAAAAAATCGTTCATAAATTGATCTTAAACTAATTGCACTCGTTAAAGGTGGACTGTAACATTGAATGCGATTCATTTTGGTTCAACAATTGCCCTCTGGTGAAATTTACAAACAAAATTTCGTATCACTTTTTAACACGTGTTTCAGCTCGCAAAAAGCGGGTTAAAACACGCTCTCGGAACCGCCCATCCAACTGCAGAATTTTTTCCACCTCTTCCGCATTCCAAATCCGCTACCCCAAACCGAGGGTTTAAATTCCGCTACATATGTATGGTTGCCTACGTTATGGAATTTATTTTTCTGATTTTGATTTTTTTTCTCTGCCTTCAATTGAAATTTCAGTTACATGTCGACCACCGTACTTCTTGCAATCCAGTTTCAGTCGGCTGTGAATTTTATTTTGTGCTCACTACAACGCCACTGGTTGATTTTAAAAGGGTGGATATTAGTGACGTCATGGGCAGGCATTACGGCGCTCGGTCAATACAATTTAATTCAAAATGAGTGTTTCATGACCCCATCCGAAGATGCGCATATCCACACCTAGAGCACATGGCGCCCTCTGCGAACTTTTAATCTGTCGACATTAAACATCAATCACCTGAATTAGAAGTCCATAAATTCATCCAAAGAATTAAAAATATTGCAACCACTTTCTGTTATGTGTGACTAAAAAATGTCTTTTTATTTTTAGGATGTTAGGGGTATTCTCAGGAGTAAGATAACATTTGTTTCGTTTCATTCTCTTTTCAGCATACGCGTCTGTGAACACAGCCCATTTTTGTTTCACAACGTAATAAATTAATATATAACTATAGGGTGCAATAAATTATTTTGGATTGTTACAACATACAACCTTTCAAACAAAACTATACTTTATTGTACGACTTAGGTAACCAGTGTCAACATGTAGCTACAGTTTTGGAAAACAGCCTTCGGAATGATATATTATTGTCAACACTTTCACATATTGTGAAGCATAAAAACTAGAAGAATCTGGCAGTCAGTCATCGGATTGTCGTTTAGAGCCCTTTATTATAGAAGACGTACTCTGGAGGGGATGCACCATATAGCTTATCAGCTTCATCCTATAAAACAACCAAAGCACTAATTATCCATAGACAAAAATCACTTATTACCCTTATTTCCGGTTCTAGTTTCTTGTATGCAATTTGTGCTTTCTGTTTAAAGAAAGCACAGGCTAGAGGTGTCGCAAACGTCAGACACAACCCCACGAAGCCCACCTGCACGGGTAAATTAATCCAGGGGTATCTATGCAGCGTTCCCCTTTTCTCCAAATAATTCATAAGAATAGGAGTGAACACTAAAATAAAAAGTCACTGCAAATGTTCACTTTGTCACACTAACGAACTCACTCATCCCGGGTGTGGCCATACACACCCTACTAAAGACGACCTGAGTAATCCCCTCCTGTGCCGCTTTCTTCGAATACCCTAATTTATTATTATTAGCGTCATATACTGGTGTTCCTTCTTGTAATTCCCGCGATCTCATCAACGGGATGTTGATACAATTGGCAGCAGCGACCGCGACCAGTGGTACCAACCGGCCTAAAAGGGGCGGTGCATTCTACAACAACCAATCAGAACTTTCGTCCAAATGTACCGTTTTCTACTCACCTTACACAGTCGATTTAAACTAAGCGCTGTAGCCACAGCTCCTCCCGTCGCTAACACGTACGAAGTAGCGATTTGTTTTTCTGTAAAAGTGGCATCGCCGCTTCTGTTTGTATAATTGACTAGAGCATTAAAGGACTGATTGAACCACTGCCAGAAAATTACAGCTGGTGTTGACTTGTAGAATGTCATCATTCCTCCAGTTATCATCATATTCATGGGGACTTGGGCGGACATGCGGCCTATGATGTTCATTTTTTCGCCGGTGTCGGGGTGAAAAGCGGAATCGTAGAGAGTTTTCGCCCTCCATAACTCTTCTTCGGTAGTTCCAGCGGGAAGAGGTTGCCTGTTTCTATATTCACCCATAAATAAAAAAAGCGTAAACATCGAATAGATTGTTTACCTGTATTTGATTACCAAAGTTCGAGCGTTTTCCAGCTGGGCGTTGGTCACAAACACGTTCAGAGGATTAGTGGTCAAGAAGAAGTGTTTGGCTCTTCCTGTGTAAGTTTCTTGGTCGTATCGAGGTTGGTCAATATTCACGTTGATGTCCATTTCGGCGAGTTTGGATTTTGACTTACAACAAAGTTCTTACACATCCACGCATTATATGCTAATAACTGGAACTAGTTTGTTAAGCAAATTTTCGTTCACGGATGGCCTTGATTGGTTTTAACACTGTTGATAGGGACTATCTTATTGAACTTTGATATTGCTGTGTGAGGTTACACCGGCTAAACGAAAATGTTCACTCGTTTCACGAGATTACAGGCGCCGACGCCGAATTATCGATGGATTTTTGTAATTCTAATTTCCTAAATTTATTTTTGTCGACCGGAAATTGACCAAAAAGTGATTCGAGTCTGGAAAAAGAACTCACACTTATGCAACTACTGATAACGGGAATAATTGTTATCTACACATTTTTTCTACAACAACTTCTATCTGTGATGTAAGAGTGACCTTATTTTTGCGATAAGTGGAAGTATATACAGCGACTGATTAGCGCTAGTTTCTTGATAGAAAATATGTATTGCTTTAGATTTATAATAGAGAATACACATATGACGCCAACGAAAATAAATTGTGATGTTTAAGCAAGTTTGCTTACACTGAAATCAGATCAGGGATCCTGTTGATCGATAATCGACCCAATTATCGCAATCTATATCGTATTATCGAAAACTTCTTGTATTGTAGTAAGCCTTGACATAAGCCGGGTGGTTAGTATCACAACCGATTTGAGAAAACATTAAAAACCGCATTTCTAAACGTGTTTGTTGACACCTAGGTCACGCTGAGACGGACTGTTCGTTTGCAATACACTGGATTTATGTTTTGTTTATCAACTGACTGCACATGTTTATTCCAGCTCTACGATTAGTTGAACAGGCGTGGTAATTTTAATCTAAACTTTCACTTTGTAAATTTTATGCAACTATTAATACTGGAATTGTTGAAATGCAAAAGAAATTCGATAAAATTAAGTCTTTATACAATGAACGTGGCAATTATGGATTTAAAAATTGAAACATGATGTATGCTCCAAATTTGGTCAAAATGGTTTCTCTTTATTTGCAGTCTCGATGAAAAATTATCCTGAATGCTTTAACTCCGTACAGTCGTAAGTTGTCGTAACAGAAACCCATTTTTTACAATTCCTACACTGTTGTGGGGCAAGAAAAAAAATATATGACAGTGAAGCGGTAGTTGCTGACTACAAAATTTACAGACAACCCATTTTTGTTTACCTCTCTCCAAATTTTACTCACCACATAACTAACACTAGAAACTTCCGTATATTCTGTTGAAACACCAGCTCTTATCAAAATGCAAGTGGCCCATGACGTCATCGAAATGACGGACACTTAATTATTACATTACTTATGTCGTAAAATCGCGGAGAATATTCTCCACAAATGAAACCAAAAACATCCGAAAGCAAAACGGGGTCTAGTGACTCTATAAGTTTGTTGTTTTGTTTTCGTACCAGTTATATTAATAATATTATTTATTCATCTTATTAGTATGTTTTTAAAATTAAATCTAATTTTACAGTCGATGTTAATTTTTTAAAAGCACAATAATTATTGGTAGGGAATTGACGATATTCTGTGTCTTTCTACAGCGTACAGTTTTATATTTGTCATGTAGTTAAAATTTATACTCAAATAAAACGGATACTCAATCCAAAACGTACCTATATCAATTTCATTTTATTTAAAATCGATTGTTGTTTTAATTGCTTCATTATACAAAATCTGTTTGCTTCAATAAGATTTCAACAGTTCCGCTTGTGCATAAGCCTTATTTCTACAACTGACAATCGCATAAACTCACACAGTTTTTTAAGCTTTTCCGTCTATTGAACTTCTCATCGAGCCAAAAGATCCATGTATGACAACCAAAGCAAATCCTGTAATTTTGTCAACTGACAAGTTAAACTGTGACGCGTTTGAAATTGATGTCATTTTCTTCAGTGATACCAACCAAACGGCGTACATCACGGCCCACTGCAACTCCTCCAGTTGCCAGTGGATTTTAAGTTATTCTCCTGGTGGTTATTGGGGTGGGCCCCAACTTAAGGGCGTTTTTTATTAATTGCAGTTACGTAAGCTTAGTATTTATTTTTGACATCACTTCCAAACTAGAACACTGGAAAAATTTCCAAGTTACATAAAAACATTTCCAAGTTACATAAAAACCTGAACACTTGCAATTTTTAAAATTCATGATCAAAGAAAGTGTTCCGGTGAGTTCCGAAACTGTCCGAAACCGCACGACTGTTCAAAAACGCAAAACCTTATAAAAAAATATGACTATATTTTCGTAACGTTGTTTATGTACATTTTCAATCATCGAGAATATACAATACTGCACTGAGTACATAAATAAAATGTATACATAATAAATTATATGTACAGTTAATTAGGTACAATTGATTTAATTAGCTATATACATTTAATTAAATAACGCAATTGAAAAGATTCCTCAACTACAATAAATAATTTAAAAAAATATATCAAAGGAGCAACAATTTGCACTTTTCCTTATCATCCTAACGATTCTCGTGAATCTTTAAATTTACACCTGACAAGCGCGAATTAAATATTCACCATTTTATTTGAAATAAAAAAATGAGCAAACAAAATTATTTAAGCACTTTGTGACTAGCTCATCTCCATATAAATCGCACAGATCACTTTTAATACTTTACTTATGAATTTTAACGTCAGTATTGCTATCAGGATTTAATCCTATCATGAACAATAAGAAATACAGCTAAGCTTATTTCACACAAACAATAAATTACTACTGCTAGACTTAGAATTGTAGATAAACGAATTATTATTTGAGCCGTTCATGACAGTCCCGTTGGCTACAAAACCATTTGACGGTTTTTTAGCATCACCATTTTGGAGAATGGTGTACCCTGTCTGGTCCTGCCAACTATTTTGACTGAAAGGAAGCAAACCTTGCTTCTTTTCAACCTGTTTAGCGTCGTATTTCGCCTAAAATTGTTCCTTATAGTTTTTAAAAGTTTCAAGTTATTGAAACATACCTTATTGTAGAAAAGAACACCAAATATTGCTAACAGCATACCGAAAACGTTAGTACCAGTCACAGGATTGCCTAAAATAAATAATGAAACTGCGATAACGAAGATTCTTTTACTGGCATTGGCGACTGCATAGGTCAAAGGAGTTACTAGTGATAGGACACTAAAGGCAATAATATTTTGTAGCCAGTTCAAAATTCCATCCATTATGAGTAAACCAATGACGCGATAGTCGTGATATTTCTGGAATTTTATTTTTTAGATAGACATACCGTCAAACACGCAGTACTTACGACTGAATCATCCTTCAGTAGTCTAAACATATCTACAAGAACCCAAACTGGAAGGAACATAAGAAGGGCAAGTCTTCCTAAAATGTGTAACAACCTTAAGTGGTGTACATTCGTGTCATGTAACACTTTTTTCGAGAATATATTCATCAGAGAAAACCCCATTGTAGCCACTAAAGCGCTAACTAACCCAATACTATCGAAGCTGATTTCAGTGATTGTGGCTATAGCTACACCCGCAATTATAGGAATTAGGCTTATGTAAACTTTAAGCGTCTGCTTCTCCTTCATCAGGACTCTAGAGAGAACAACTGTAAAAAGCGGCATCGTTGCTTTCACTACAAAAAAAAATGTCAACATATGTTATCTTAAACCTAACCTCAAACCTGTGTGCGCGTAGGACACTGGGACTTTCCAAATACTGACATGTGAAAATACGGACGCTATGAATTTCCCAAACGCCAGAGGGACTATTATCGTAAAATAATATCTCCAAGAAATATCTACATACTTTCTGATCCCCCATAAGTTAAACAGGGGGCCACTAAAAAGGGTGATTGACAGCAGCTGGACCATTGTCATCGTCATGGGATACGGGAAATCGTTGAGTAAGGTTTTTCCGATGACATTGTTGCTGGAACTGACCACGTACCATAAAACACACAAAAATAATACGGTGAGAACTTCTTTCGTGTGTTTGCGGTCAGCCATGCTGGCACTCACGACTGTCAATGCGCTGTCACTTGCCAGATGGCATGTAACCAATCACAGTCGAGGACGGCGACAACGTAACGGTATGTAACGTAAAAGTCACTAGTTTTGAGTGAAAGTAAAAATTGTGGTCTATGACACGGAATGGGTTGGTTAATTGGGGCATGGGCGCTTTCGCTGATTTACATTCCAGTGGCGTACGCGTCCGTAATTCAGTGTTGAAAATGTCACATTACACTGACGTAATTGATAGTTGGGTGTTTCAGTCAGAAAAAAAACCGACAGATGGCGCTTCTTTTTTTATTTTTATGTTTACACAAGAGTACGTTACATGATAAAAAATAAATATATTTATTGACATTGTGGAATTATTGCTGTATAAATTATAAAGTCTTAGTTATTGTGTTTTGGTTGGTTGGGAAGGACTTCTTTGAAACGCTGTCCTGGTGATCCTGCAAACATTTCCAATGATTATAATATTTCTTTATGAAAAGTGGTAAAAGTTTACAGTGTTGCCAATCTATCTCAGACGTAAAAAATCAATATGCACTCACCCTTTCAGTGAAATTCAAATATGGATTCCTCGCGATAAGCAACTCTATTCTATCCCCCGCCGATGCAATCAAAGGCACTGTCAAACAACAATCAAAATCCTTCGTTTTAGTGTCATTTACTTGAATGATCCTATCATAAGGTTTCAAAAGTCCCACGATATCCGCCGGACCTCCCTTTCGTATCCTGTTAACATAAACACCCTTCTCGTACAGGCCATCACTCACACTGAACCCATAGTCATCGTAAATGGAGTCTTTGTACAAAGTCACGTGATAAATCTCATTGTCTTGTATGCTTTCGTTGCTGTAAGTCCCCTGTAGACGATTCACGAAGTTTGCCGAAGACTGTCCGTACGAATTCGTATTGGTGAAGCTGTAGTTAGGTAAAGGGAGAGGACTCGGACAGAACATGTCCTCGGCATCTGAATAAAACTGGAGTTGAGAATCGTGCTTCTTTTGTTTGTCGGGGTCTTGGTAGGAAAGGGGTTCACTGAGAACACTCTCTTCGTCTTTAATTACATCTAAAAAAAAACATCAAATTAGTCACGTGACGTTATTGGTGATTTGCGCATGCCTAGGTTGTCGTTTGCGTTGCTGTCCCAAGAATGGACGGCGCTGTCAACACTTAGCACCCCAGGACTGGAGTAGGTGCATCTGCCTTCTTCGATTGCAGACTCTGCAAAAAAAAATGGGTTTGTTGGTATTTTGGTGTGGATACATTGTACTACTGACCTGTATTTTTGATATGTCTGGCAATTTTCAACTGGACTCGATCCCCCGACGTCTGGAGTAAACGAATGGCGTCACTCAGAGGTCTGTTTTCTAAGCTTTCCCCATTAATAGCTAAAATCCTGTCCCCAACGTGCAACGCTCCCGTTTTCTCAGCCAAACCTCCTTCGGTCAATCGCGACAAAACTATAGGTTCCTGGCAATCCTCGCTTCCAGAAATCGTGATCCCTAAAGGCCCCCCGTACCGGTGCAGTTCCACGGTATACACCACACTATCAAGAAACAAATTCGCGTTTTCAGTTTCTGTTTTCTCAATTTTGAGCGTGACGATGTCGTTGGTGGACGTCTGGAGAATGTCGAAGGCACTTTCCAGACTCAAGTGATCCAGAGGACGGTTGTCTATAGCGAGAAGTCTGTCTCCTGCGTGGAGAGTACCAATCCTGTGGGCTATCGAACCCCGGCGGATCTCAGAAATAATGAAGGGCTCGTCTGGACGCGTTTTTGAAGCCGTTATTGTGATTCCTAGACCAGGACCTCTTTTAGGGAGCTTGACAGTGAAGATACCACTGGAGGGTACGATGGTGTCTGCTACGTCGAACTCGATTTCAAGGGTGAGCTTGGAGTTTGAGTCGTTCCCGAGGTCCAGGATTGAGTTGATTTCTTGAAGGGTGAGGTTGGGTTGGTGGTTGACGGAAATGATGCGGTCGCCCACTTGGAGGCACCCACACCTGAAAGACAAAATGACTTTATTAAGAATTGGCGCACATTAGTTAAAATTTGTTAATTTTCCAGCTTTCTAGGTCCAAGGGTTTGGGTTGATGAGTCAATCAGTAAGGGAGACAAGACTTTTCTTTTTATATATATTGATTATTGCTTTACCCAGACACGAACCGTTAAAAACCTACCTGTAAGCTGCCGAATCCTGCGCTATCCTAGAAATCAAGATATCCGCAGTTCTATTTTCGCTGTGTTCTCCTACGGAAACTGTCAGACCATACCCTCGGTCTGCACTTAGGGTGGTCGTGAGTGTTTCTGGATGACAGACTCCCATATTCCCCGTACATCCACAATAATTACTCCCGGAATCCCCATCCAACGACTTATGAAACACACTCTGACGCTTCCTATTCCTCGACCTTCGCGAATTCAAGGTACTAAAACTCGTCACGTAATTCCTGGTGGCTCTTTGTACCGTATGGTACGGCAAAATTTGTAATTTAGTCGCCCTTCGTAACAACCTCTCAGCATCATTAGTGCTCCCGTTCCAGTTCTCCAAAACCAAGTCATCAACGGCCAGGAGCTGATCACCAGGACTTAGTGCCCCACAACGGTCTGCAGTACTCGCTGGTACTACATGTTCTATAAAATATCCCGCTGCGAGTATTTCATCGGGTCCCAACTCGCAACAATTGGTCAAAACCAACCCAAAATCTTCCTCTGTTTGTCTGTCGATTTCCACAAGTAAAGGGCCTTGTGCATACTTCACCGATTCCATAATACTAACATCGTACTCGATGGTTAGCGTAGCCAGAGCGAAAGCCGCATTGTCTTTAAGCACCTGCTGCGCTTCTAAGAGTGTTTTGTTGATCAGCTGCTCGTGATCCACCTTTAATAGCCGATCCCCCACTCTAATTAAACCACTGCGGTGGGCGGGGCCGTTCTGACGCACATGCGTGATCACTAGCGGTCGGCTGAGATGGGGGTGGTCCGGCACAGCTCCACCTCTCAGCGTGATTCCCAAGGACCCGTCCACGCGCTCCAGGGTGACTTCCGCCAACTTAGACGTGACGCAGAGCGAGCTTTGGGACGCTAAAACAATCAACCAGTGAGAAAAGTAGTTTTCGTTACTGGAAAGCTTACCGTAATTGGGTAGCGAGTACTGGATTTCGAGCATGGCGTTGCCGTCGACGTTTTCCAGCAGCTTGGACACATCTTCAGGGCGCATCCGCGACGTGTTGATCCCGTTGACGCTGTAGATGCGGTCTCCGGGTACCAACTGTTCGCTGGTCAAGGCCACCGAGCCGGGGCGTAGTGACACGATGCTGGGGCATGCCTCCAATTCCGAGTTCCCTTCAAAGAGATCATTATTTACGGTTTGTTGGAGTTAATTGATGAGAATTGAGCGAAATCAGGTCGCGAGACTCGATGATGTTTTTCTAGGAAAAAATTATTTATGGGCGGGAGCAGATGGTTGTTGTGTGTGAATCAGCAGATGATAAATATCGCTGGCTTTAAAAAGTTTTATTATTTAATAAAAATATAGAAGTGCGAAATTATGCAGATGGTGACAAGATGTTTGCGGGGTTTTCCGCGACACGGATTTAGGAGAGGAACGTCACCTCGGAGGAAACGAGAAAAAGTGTGTAGTATATTATGCAATGTGACAAGTGGCGTTTTTTACATAAATTCTAATATTACCGAGACGTAGACGAGGTTTACAATAGACCGTGATACGATATATATTGCAATATAAATAATATCTATGCATTTTAAACAAAGGGTTTTCATAAATAACTCGTACATCCACGTGTGCACTCATTTATTCCGTCTCTTTCGAAGTCTGCAAGTATAATGGCAAGAAATAATTATTCTCCAAATGATATATTAATCACGCTAATTAAAACCTTAAAACTGTCTACCACTACTAAGAAGTGGGAAATCTGCAGCTTTAAAAATATTATAGGTCATTATGAAACATTTAATATGAAGACCCTATAAACACACATTAAAAACCATTTTTATTTAACAAACGTTCTGGAGCAAATATTAATTTATAAGTTACATTAGAATTATTTCTAATTTTTTTGTTTCTGAGTGTGACCAGTATACCGGGTGTCCCATGTAACACTTTCGGGCACAATAACTCAGGTACGAAACGTGCAGATTTTTGGAAAAAAAAAATTAAAGTTATAAAACAACATTTTGCAATTTAATTTTGAATCTGTAAAATCGAATGCTTTAAAAACTTGCAGATGTTTTAAGGTGATGATAGGCATGATAAATTTTTAATCAAAATTTATTTACTTATTCCCTCCAAAAAATTGATGACTTCAGCTCAAAATTTTGGTGAATTCAAAATATGCTGCCTCTATACTTGTAATTCTTATTTTTTAGATTTACTGATACAGGGTAGCTCAAAAAATTAATGAATGCGTAATCAGGAACTGCAAAACGGAATGGTTTGAAAGCTTGGAGATGTTTTAAAGTTATCATAAGCATGGTAAATTTTTGGTAAAATGTATTTGCCCATCCTCCCTAAAAAACTGATGACGTCACCTCAAAATATTGCTGAATAAATCCTATTTTAAATGTGCAAATTATGATGAGTCTATACTTGTGATTTATCACTGGATTCACATTTTTTAGGTTTACTTATACGGGGTGTCTTAAAAAAAATGTCTGAGTCAATTTATTTTATTGATTAAATCAAGAATTGCAAAATAGAATAATTTGAAATCTTATATACGTTTTAAAGTTATTGTAAGCATGATAAATGTTTGGTCAAAGTGTATCGATAAAATATAAAAAATGAGAGAACGGGTGGGTGGGCGGGGCTAACTGTAATTTTTTCCTACAGAATCTTTTATAAGCAAGCAATAGTAACGCCCACCCACCCCCTCTTCATTCCAATGATTACTCTTAACAATGTTCAGTTATTTACCAAAATCAATCTTATCTTAACAAGTACAAGCCCCTTTATTTTCTTAATAAAGGGTATGTCGTTTGCCACAATCAGTCTTAACTTAGCAAGTACTAGTCGCTCCCACCTACCCTGTATTTTCTTAGAGGATATGTCATTTACCAAAATCAATCTTATCTTAGCAGATACTAGCCCCGCCTCTCATTCTAACGATTTTATCTCTCTTCAATTAAGTTCCACCTTCTATTCGGTCTAGATAAAATGAATCACTGAAATGGAGGCCGGGTGGTTGGGCGGGTTGAATTATATGTTCCTTTGTAAAGTGAGAATGGGGACTAATAGAACGTAGGCTGTTAAAAAAATCTTTTAATCGTAATATTTTTTTATACTACTTATTTGTTATAACATTCATTTCTTATTTCTAAAGAAAAAAAAATGAGAGAACGGGGCTAAGTTTAACTTTTTCATTCATAATGTTTTATAAGGAAGCAATATTGTTCAGTCATTTACCAAAATCAATCTTATTTTAACAAATACTAGCTATGCTCACCCGCCCTCTATTTTCCTAGGGGGTATGTAATTTGCCACAATCAGTGTCCTTGCAAAAATGTTGATGAGGTCATCACAAAATTGTGTAAAGTAAAAACTCAACTCAAAATTGCTGGATATGTTTCATTGTATTTTCGGTGCGAGGGAAGTTCTGTCGAAACAACTTTCGACCAGTTTTGCATGTTATATGTATTTGGTTCTGTAAATTCTATTTTCGTTGTGAGAACTCCTACGGATTAAAGTAAAAAATTGGTCTCAGAGATCCGATGAGGATGGGATTCGAACCCACACAGAGCATGGAGCAGAGCACAAGTCCGAGCATGCATAAAAACCTGGACTTCAATGTCATTCTATTGCCATAGAGTGTAATAAAATACTTTTAAGTATTGTAACCTGACTTTTATCTCCCGAGCTAAGGAAGTATTGTAATCGAGTCCATCGGCGGATTCACTACTTTTATGTTTTCTCGACCTTTCATAACCCTTACGGTACCAAGAAATAGGTCTCCCGTTTTCGTCTGTCTGTCTGGCTGTCTTCCTGTCTATCTGTCTGTCTGTTTGTCTGCCGTCTGTCCGGATTTTTATTAGACAGATAATCTCCGAAACTACTGAATCGATTGTTGTGAAATTTTGTGTGTACATTAGGAATATCATGTAGAATGTAGATGGTAAAACGCTCACCAAATTTTGGCTAATCATCCCCACCACCAATAAAATCACGACGTCACCAAAATTTATAACAATACTAGCGGACCCGGCAAACGTTTTGCCATATAAATTATTTTTAGTGAATATTTTGGTAATTAAATGAAAAATTACATTAAAATAAATAAATTATAGACTATACATAAAAATTTAGCGTACCACAATGATTATATTCCACAGCCCTATTGCGCATCAGCCTATGCAAGTAAAGATACTAATATCGTTATTAAAAAATGGTAGTAGAAGGGTGAAAAATAAAAAATTTTGTCCAAAAAATAAGCAAAAAATTTTTTGGGTGGGCCACCCTTATCACTTAGGGGTATAAAAATTAGTTTACGACCTATTCTCAGACCTACCGAATATACATAAAAAATTTTATAAAAATCGGTCAAGCCGTTTAGGAGGCGTTCGGTTACAAACATTGTGACACAAGAATTTTTCATACATAATTTTTTTTATTTTAGAATATGTATAAGATATTCTTGCACTTGTGGTGTACGAATCTGTGTTGAGTTTTCACCCTAGATATCCAGATTTTTGGAAGAAAAAAAGAAATTAAAAGATATAACAACATTATGCAATTTAACTGTGAAACTACAACACCAAATGTTCTGAAATCTTACAAACGTGTTCAGGTTATTGTAATAATGGCAAATCATTAATCAAAATTTATTCGTTTATCCCCCAAAAAAATGGATGACTTCATCTCAAAATTTTGTCAAGTAAATCCTATTTAAAATATACAAAATATGATAGATGAGTCTATACTTGTGATGCATCATTCCATTAACAGTTTTTAGAATTGCTTGTACGGGTGATTGAAAAAAATTAAAGAATTAGTTAATTTATTTTATTGACTGCAAAGTCGAATGTTTTGAAAACTTGCACACGGTAAATTTGTCAAAATATATCTGTTTACCCCCTCCAAGAGACTGATGACGTCATCTCAAATTTACATAATAAATTCCATCGAAAATGTGCAAAATTTGATGAGCTTATACTTGTGATTTATTATTCCATTCATATTGTTTAGAATTTATACTGAAAAAATTACAGAATGAGTCAATTTATTTTACTGATTAAATTAGGTTTAGGTCATTCCATGTTCCCGAAAATTTAGGAATAGGTACAATACTGTTACTATTAGTATTAGACTGCATCTATCCAAATTGATATATGTGTCCTTGCAAAAATGTTAATGACGACATCACAAAATTCTATGAACGAAAAACTAATTTGAATATGCCTTCACAAAATCAATTTTTTTAATTTTTCGAAAAAGCTGAATATGTTTTATTGTACTACTTAATTTTTTTAGTCTTGTAATTTTTAACATTGCGGGTGTGCTGACACTGGATACAACGTGATACATCCTTGAAACTTCAAACGCCAAAATGACAATAAGGCATAGACTACATCAAAATTCTCAAAATGACGGAAACCCTGAAGTCCAAAATTTTCTATTCTAAACTGTATTTGATGCATAACCGAGATATTGCCTACATGAAACACTTGGAAACTATTGTACATAATTTTGTAAAGTACTTGTGAGAGAAATCAAGGATTCAGAAATCACCACTTTTACACGCAAAATGATGAGGAAACGTCATCAAATTGTTAATGGGGACAATTAGACAAATTTTGGGGTTTTACCATCTATACGATATTCCTAACAATCCTAACATACATATAAAGTTTGACAACAATCGGTCCGGTAGTTTCAGAAATTATCTGTTCAACAAAAATCGACACAGACGACACACAGACAAACCGACAGAAGGAAACGGACGACCTCTTTTCGTACTCTACGCGTCATGAAACATCGAAAAACATGAAAGTAGCCGTTCGTCCATTTGCAGTCGGAAAATAAGAAAGGGGTTGATTATCCAACTGTAAGTAAAGAAACACGTTATGAGTATGCTTCAAGTTAGATTTTATTAATAAAATCTATAGTTGATTTCAGATGAAACCGCATCGCATGTGCGTCCATACGTTAAAAGCCAACTTGATGTAGAGTTATCTGAAATGTACTATAGTAGTGACGTCATCCACTTTTTAGAAAAGACAATATACCATATGATTACAAAAATTTACAAGGCTAAGCTTACTTGATGTCAGTTCCCTTTCATCTAAAATTTTCTTATCAATACGATACAGACATTAGGTATATAATATCTAGTATATTATTTTTTTGAGAGATACTGTATAAAGAAGTCTAAAAAATGAGTGCATGAAAAATTTACGTAGGTAATCTCACGTTTCTTATTACATACCATTTAAAGTAAGGCTGATAAACCATTGAAGCATAGAATTTTTACATTTTAGGTAGGTTTGTCTTTGCAACATTCTGAAAATTATAATTATATAACAATAATAATATTAATAATACGCTTATAGGATAATATTAATAATAAGTAAAACGTAAAAATAAAGTTAGATAAACAGATACATTTAGACATTTACAGATAAATTTGAACTTAATGCATCTAAAATTTGACGACAATCTATCCAGTGATTTCAGAGATTATTTTTCTAATAAAATCTCCAATATACCTACAACAGACGACAGACAGATGGAGTGGGAAACTTGGTTTTTATATTTTTGAAATGTGACGCTTCGAGTGAATAGATGAAATTAGCCATTCACAAGTTTAAACTCAGGAAGTAGAATTATTAGTCTATATAGTTAATGTTTCAAGGTCAATTTGTTTCTTTTCTTTATTCTTTCAATCTGTGTCTTTCTTATTGCATAACAAAGTAAATATAATAGATTCCTGTAGGTTTGCTGCGTCTGGTTTAAATTCTCGATATAGTAAGACGACAACAAAACCACGTCAAAAGATGCCACTTTTAACACAGACGTATAAAATATTTTTATTAGAATTCAACGAAAACAAATGAAAGTGTAGGAGTGCCAGTAGCAACATATGGGGAAGTCTGAAAAGAATTCCCTCTTTGCTAGCGAGCACGAGAAGGATCAAAGAGTGTCGTTAACGTGACACACAAGAGCTAAAAATATGCCCTCAAAACGACCATAATTTAGATTTACGTTCATAATGATAGTTTTATTTACTTATAATTTTTAACGAGCCTTTTCTTCCAAATAATATCAACAATAAAAGTTTATTATAATCCACAGAGTCGAAGAACGCATGCCAAGAAAGCGTCCACGTTTGCAAAACCCTCGAATAATGAGATAATTAGCCTCATCACATAACCAGTCAATCAGTGTCACGTGTCACGTGCGTCTAGCCCCGCCCCTCGCCCCGCCCTCCCAAAACTACCTACTTTTCTTGTGGTGTTTCTGCTTGGGCGAGCCCACGGGTGTCTTTGGTGGTTTGCAAAGGATGCTCGGTGGAGAATCCTCCGACAGACTCTTGGCCCTCGGCCTCAGCGAAGACAGCTTGAAAGAAGAGAACATCTCGCTCACCTCATCGTCAAGTCCATTGTCCCAATGAATGGACTAAATATATCCCGCAAGCACGTTTACCACTTTATAATTAGCTGCGAATCTAAACACGATTTTAACTGCTGTTTGCCGCCATTCCAGCGAACAATCTCCGAAATTAGCACTTTTCGCGAGGTTTTTCTCTTTTTTCGGCGATTCGCGGCCTTTGGTGCACCGTCGCGAGATGAGAGTAGCGTTTTGGGTTCTAGTAGTTGTGTTGTCGTTCCTCTTGCCAGTCATAGCGAAATCTGTTTATTTTTAACCTCCTTAGTTTTCAGAGACGGTGCGCGACGCCGGAAAGACGTTAGGTGTGTTGGCACACCAGCAGTTTCGTCATTTTTCTGTTAATTTGTACCTGTTATGTGCGTCTAATTTCGTTCGGATCCGAACACAAACATCGTTAAAGTTTTGTTGCGTGTTCGCATAAACAGTGAAGAGCGATGGCCTGGGCTCGGGGGGCGAAGGTGGCTAGGGATTATCAGTTTTTCGTTTTCGGGTTGGTACATCTGGCGGGTATTAATAGGCAGACGTGGATTTTCAAAAATAGGTGCGGGAATAATAAAATCGTCACAAATTGGTGGAGGATGTGTGGGACGGCGACGTGGCCTGATTTTGACCCGATTTGCCGAAATTTGGACCAAGTTGACGCCTAAATTATTTGTGGCCACGACGGCACCACACATCAACAAACAATTGTATTGAATATTTTTCCGACTCGTCGTTCCTTTTCCTTTTAACTCATAAACTTGTCTGCTCTAAACCTTCTTAGTTTGTCTACTTCTCCTTATTCTTTTTATACCCACAGTTTTCCGTAACAGGCTATAATTTTCTCTATATATTCGGATAAAATAAGAGAAGGTTTTTATTTTAACTATAATACATAAATATTTACATAAATCCTACAATATCGACAGAACATTAATATAATTCAAAATAATTTTTCAAAAATTAGACAGCCAGAATCCTCTAGTGCATATTATACCTATAAGACAGACTTAAGTAAAAAGACTTTTATTTTTTTTTTTTAAGAGAAGTATTCCATATTTTTATTTTTTGTAGGTTTGAGGAAGAATTCATTAAAGCTTTGTATCCCAATTTAGCCAACACCTTTTGATTTGTTGATTCTAGAAAATTTCATCTGAAGTGATTCATGATTTCTCGCCACACACACACACATATGTGATTGACAGAATGATACATTAATAGACCGTGAACAAAGGTTAAGAAGCACTGTAGAATGTACCAACAAGGTACTGTGATTATTTTAAGCTGACTTTAGTTTTTCGATTGTGGTCTCTATAATTTAGCTCAAGCCAAGATTTAAACACCTTTTCTTTGAAATGCAAAGGCTACGTGAATGAGAGGAGTGCCAGAAGAATTTCGTACAAATTATATTTTCGAAACAGGCGTGATAGATCATTAGCAAAATTTTAATAAAAACGATGTTACTCATTTGTCTTCCAAGAAGAGTTTTTTTTTGTGACTGCAAGTTACATATATGTACTTTGTATTTTTGAAAATAAAATCCTTGCGTTAAAAAGTTGACCTATAATTCTACATACTGAGGGCCAAACGTGTGAAGAGATTACATCTGAATCCGAATTGAGAATTAATTAATTAAATTTAGCTTGTTCTTTAAAAGTGCATCAAAAACTGCCAATAACTTGCACTAATTTGATGTCAAATTTGTTTCCTTTTTTCTTCCCAAGCGTAAACTAAAGAAGTATTGTAATATGATCCATCCAACGAATGGCTACTTTCATGTTTCCTCGACGTTTCATGACACTAAAGTTTAAAAAATAGATCTCTCATCTATCTGTAGTCTGTGTCGATTTTTATTAGACAGATAATCTCCGAAATTATTTGATCAAGTGTTGTAAAATTTTATATGTATGTTGGCAATATCGGGTAGAGCATCCTCATTAACATTTTTATGATGGCACATCAAAATTTTGCTTGGTAAAAGCAATCGAAATTTTACAAAATAACATACTGCTCTAATTGTGGATTATGAAGATCAAGATTTTCGCAAATAAAATCAAAATTGTATAACAATATTTTGTACTAACATAAACGGTAAACCTTGATAGATCAAGTGATTTCCGCGGCATGTTAATAAACAAAGGTTGCCAGGCAAGGAAAGTCCTGTGTAATAACATGAGATCATTATTCTTTAATGTAGGGATAACTTTTGCTATTCTGAGTCCAACTGACAAAATATTAGAGTTAATACAGCTACGACTTCCCGACCATAAGCTAAGAAAGTATTGTACTCGTATAGGAATATAGTGCCCATCCAGCGAATGACTACTTTCATGTTTTCTCCACATTTCATAACACTTAGAGCAAAAAAGAATAGGTCTCCCGTTTCCGTCCCCGAAACTACCAAACTGATTGTTGTTAAATTTTATACATATGTTAAAATTTATTTGTCTGAGCATCATCACCTCAAAATTTTGCTTGGTAAATGCCATTCAAATGTTATAAGTACAATAAAATCGAGGATATAGAACAATAATCCGATAACTGACGAAAATTCGAAACACAGTTACAATTATTTAATCAATTTTTGCACAGCAAGGTTTACCCCCAAAGTAAAATACTAATAACAAGGGGACTCAAATAACTAGGAAAATTTGCTTGCGATCTGTAGGGAAATAATATAATAATATTTATAAAATAAATTCTATACCCTCGAAATACTCCTCTACTTGTGATTTATGAATTCGCCTTGATTTTTCGCTATAGACGTCTAAGTTTTCGTAAAAAAATCAAAATTGTATAAAAACATTTTACACTAATATAAGCGTAACGTTATTCTGTAAGCCTTGATAGCTCAGTTTTTGTTTTCATATGAGGTGAGGGAAGTTCTATTTAATAATATGCGACCATTTTTTTTAAGGTAGGGATCACTTTCGATATTTTGAGTGGAATTGAAAAAATACTAAAGTTAATACAGTTATTACAAGCATAAGTTAAGGAAGTAGGTACTGTAACAGCGTTTATCCGACGTATGACTACTTTCATGTTTCTCCCATATTAAGATCCCTAGAATAAATAAAAGGTGTTATTTCTGTCTGTCTATCTGTCGTTTGTGTCCATAAAAATCTTGGAAACTACAGAATCAATTGTTGTAAAATTTTATATACATACATATTAGGAATATGGTGCATACGGTAAAAAGATAACCATAACTTGTCTAATCATCCCCACTAACAATTTGATGGTATCACTTCAACATTTTGCTTAGTTTACATTTATGCCGTTGAATTTTTATAAAATAGCATACTCTAATTGTGTAACATGAATCCGCCTTGAGTTTTTACCCTAGGCATCTAGATTTTTCCAAAAAAACGTCCAAATTATACCGGGTGTCTGGAAAATGGCGGATTATCTCTCTGCTACGCTCTTAACAATCAACTGGTGAGCCTGGGAAAAATAGTAAAAAAAATTCTTCTCACATTTTGGTGGAATTATAATGATTTTAAAATTGGATATTTTGCTAAGTACGTTTAACAACTAAACAACACATTCATGATCACAATAACTAGTAATTAAACTTTTAATTAATATATCTCTCGCCCATGACCATGTTTAATTACCATTTCAGTTAGAATGTACAAAGATATGGTTGTGTTGTTTTTGTAGTAATTTGATAACATTGCATTTGACAATGATATTTGCCCTGATATAAAGCTAATGTACAAATCAGTAAAAATCGAGTAAGCAATTAAAAATGTTTGAAGTATCAAAATCTTCAAAACCCTACGTTTAAAATGTTCACAGTTAATTTTAGGTCCTCTGGTGTTTTATTTTCGGATAAATTTAAAGGAATCTGGTGTTTTGTTATTGGACGAACTTGAAAAAATCTTTTGAGGTTTAGTGTTTTATTTTTTACGAGTTTGAAAAAGTCTTGTGTGCCTTAGTGTTTGGGTACTCATGGTGTGTTATTTTGGGAGCTCATGGAGATTTTTTTGTAAGTTAGTTAAAACAATTTTGGGGGACTTTGATGTTCTATTTTTGGCAAATTCTGACCTAACGTGTTTTTGAGTTAATTTTGGGACACCGTTTTTTTTTTGAAAAATTTAAAACAATCTTGAGATTCTAGGTGTTGTTTGGAAAGAATTTGAAGATGCTTTGGTGCCTCGAGTGTCTTTTCTTATAATAATTTAATTACATTTCTTAGAGGATCCGTCATTTGCTAAAATTAGTCTTGTTTTAGCAGCTACTAGCCCCGCCCACCCACCCTCTTACGTTTTTTTCGTAATCCACATCATAACGAACTTTTTTATTATTTTTTTGAGACTCCCGAAACCCCCGTACATAACGTACTGAAGAGTTAATCCGCCATTTTCCAGACACCCGGTATAGTAACATAATAAATCGGAGATCTCCGGTTTGATTTCCTTATCGGAACTTCTTTTTTTATACTGTGACTGGTATTATCTATATTTCTATAACCTATAAGGTTTATAAAAGAAATAAAATTGCTTCAAATCTAAATAATCTAATAAAATCTGTCTAAATAACCTTAGACCAATTAATGAATGTGATTTTTTTTATCAGATGAGCAACTTATTTAAAATTATATGGTGGCATACCTGATTGTCAAAATGATATTTATGATACCTGCCATCGTTTCAACCAATTAACACATTTAGTAGGCGCGTCATGTGACAACTGTGAACTGACGTACTAACATGAATATCAATAGTACAGAATTGCCAACACAAATTTTTTTTTCAAACATTAATAGTTACCTGGTGTTTTAAAGCCTTCCAAAGTGTGAGGTAAGGATCTATTTTTTGATTTGGATAGATTACTATTAATAATAATTTTTTCCATGCTAAACAAGTGACAATAGATTTTCCCAAAATTGCATATTTTTATAGTTGTTTATGATAGTGCTATTGTTTATTTATAAAATCTTGTTTGTATAAAACGTAGTGCATATATTTAGTGGATAGATTCATTAAACCAGTGAAAATGTTGATTGAGAAGAATCTTGTAAAAAATCCAACTCTGCACTATATAAAAAAAAATGGGATACGTTAATAAAAGCCCTTTCTTTCAAACGCTTAAAAAATCCAAAAATACACTCACAGCTGGCGTCATGTTCCCAGCTATCTCTTAAGGGACTGTGCTTCAATCTTCCCTACACCACTTTTTCCATATATTTAGTTTAATAATAAATACTTCGCACATGCCCACTATTTGGAAGAAATCATATGTTTGTCCCGTTCATAAGAAAAGTGGTATAGATAACATACAAAATTACCGTCCCATCTCGTTGTTATGCAACTTTGCAAAAATATTTGAAACCACATTATTTCAACATATT